CCGGCCAGCACAACGCGACAACTCAAAAGCGGAGCAGCATTCGGAGTTAACCTCGTCAGAACGCATGAGAGCACTCGAATCGGACTTAGATTATTATTTTCTCACTTTATTTTCGTGTATTTATTCCAACCCCTGCCCTCGGCGCTCTCACGAGCAGCCTAAAGTTTGCAGGATAAATATCCAGAATAAACAACAACAACAACAATCATATTACTTTACAAATGACAAATGAACCGGACCAAGACCAGACTCGTCATTCAAGGCTTATTCTGTGGAGCACTTGAGCTTGAACATCTTGTTCCCTGCTACCCAACGATATTGTCCTAGCTTGGGCCAGGCTCCTTCTCATTCCTTGGCTCGAACCGAAACACGGGTTTATGATTACGGTGTGGGCGCATGGAGGTTAAGCAAGGAATTGGTCGTTGCTTACTCTCTAACCAGTTTTTTTTCGCCTGGGCGCTGTGCATTGGTGTAGGCTCAACTACTACTGTGATCTGTTGAACCTTTTAGAGACAAATTACAACATTCATCACACCAACGGACACGCCTCATTTACGTGGGAAATATCTTGCACATTAGTCTGCGCTGAATTGAATAGCTTTGATACAGCCACCATTTTCGCCTGGCGCTGGGTGCTAGGCAGGACTCCAGCCTCTATTTGACTGCGACCTCTGGCTCCAATTTCTGCTGTTCACTCCGATCGAGGAGGGTGCAACTGGGAGCGCAGTCGATTCAACAACCCCAATCAACAACGCCCCCTGGCTGTTGTCGGCAGTTTAACGGCCAGGGGGCCATGGGCCATGCATGGCCGTGGCTGGCCGTGGAGGATACGAGGATAAAGTAGTCGATATCGCGGCTGATGCGACGAAACTCAAAACATAAGGGGCATATTTTGGTGCCTCCCATCTTTTTTTGGTTATTGAAGGCTGCTGGCGGGCTTTTCAGCGCATTGTATTAGCAGTGAGAATTATGACGCGAGAGAAGCCCCAAACTCAAGGGGGAGAACGAAAGGTGGAAGAATGTGTTTCGCCCGTACTATGTGAGCGCTGCGAAACGAACCTTATGATCGTTGCTGAGTCGCAACAAGACAGTTTATTCGACGCGTGCCCTAGGGAAACGGTTCGAAATACATCTGCCATATAAAGGAGGTCAGGGCAATATTTTACCAAAACAAGACCTTGGGCGTGCACATGGATAAATGGAAGCATTTAAATACTAACAACAGAAATGAGGCAATACTCTATCAATCCCGGAGTGCACAACAACTAAGGAAGTTCACCTTTGCGGAACCACAGAATCCATCGTGATCCATAAAACGAGTTTTGTCGTACCACAGCATGCCAATTCGATCACCAGGGCAATTTCCCGCCCTCTAGGGGCAAGTCACTCTCAGTCAGGGCGAGTCTTATCTCGGGATCATCCTCAACCTGAGCTTCGTCCGGAGAAGGCAGGGTCGTTGGAATGCAGCAAGTAAGTGCTTCTAAAACGGGGAGCGGAGTACATAGTCCTTACAACATTGATCAGTTCGCGCGAAGGCCGCCCGAAAGCCCAAATTCGCCTGGAAGAACGCCGCATGCAAATAGATCTTATATTCCGTCGTTTCTTCCCTCGTCCTTGAGTGGGCGATGGGTCCTCTTTGCTGAAAACGTGGTAGATGATCTCATATTGTCTGCAGACATTTTGAATGAGAAAGGGCAGTTGCCGATGTCGTCTCCACACCAACCATGTTGGATGGCATGACATGCCGGGCGTCCATCGAGCATTCCTGTTGTATAAGACTGAGAAGAACCACTATATGCCACTGGGTGCCTTCGTGTTTGTTCTCAGTCTCAGGTGCGAATGCATTCCTTTTTGCCTGGTGCCCCAGGGCAGTTGTGGGTTGCAGGTGGGCATGAGCATGCATGTCCTCCAGCACCGATCGACGGATTGTTTCTTTTGGGCTCCTGTGACGTCGTAAGAGTACAGCAACAAGCAAACCGAGCTGCAGGAACCCAGATGGAGGGGGCCCGACCTCTGGTTCAGAGTGCCTAATGCAGACCAGTTGCGTCCCTAAACCGAAGTTCTCGAGTCTTGTATGGACTCAATGGGATGGTATACTCTTAGACAGCTGTTGTGATAGGAAGTACTCGGAGCATTGGTGAAATCTCTGGCCCAACCGCACGACGAAAGCGGTGCGGGGGAAACTAGGGAGGATAAAGGGAAGACCTTTGATGGTACGGTGACTTCGATTGTACACAATACTCGTGGGTGGAAAAGTGTCGGCCACCTCGGATAAAGGACAATCCCATTAGAAACTTGATCGAACAAGGTATACTTATTCCTTGAGTTCTCCGCATGACCTGCGCAGAAGGTTTCAGATCTAGGCCTGATGAAACGTCCTAGAACCCTTTGACTTCCGCCGCTGCCCAATCTAAATTTTAGAGCATCTCGTCTCACACAGCGTAGGCGCCAGCCCTGTATGACACATGCCATCCACCCAGAGTTAGCTGTGCAGTAGTTAGGATAGTGTGATCGTCACTGAACCTTCCGTAACCAGAGAAAAGGCTACAAGAAATTCATCGTGAGATGACGAACATGAATCCCCCGCAACCGGCACGGCCCGTTGTCAATACCAGAACTCAGGAACCAAGATCACCATTCACGACGAGCCCGGTGTTGAGGCAGCGTTAGGACTCAAAAAGCCAGAACGGGCATCATAAACATTATATGTGCCATCCCAAGATCAGCATCGACGGGAGGGACAGTAGTGTAATATTGCTGTAAGTCGTCGGAAAGGACCGTAGAGATCTGCCCAGTAGTTAGGAGGGGCTGGTGTACTGTCTATGTAGCTCGTTACGATGGCGGAGACGGAGATTATTCTGGGAGCAATCAACAGTCGAATCGTTCAGTGGGCGGATGTTGATCCTAGCTCAACTGACATGGGCCGATTGCCAATCTGTTCACCGGTGACCCAATCGGAACTGCTCCAAGATTGGGGCAGACACGTAGCACCAATCCTACCTCGAATTAAAGTCGAGTGTGAGCTTCGGACCTTGCCATTCTGGGAACGTACAGTTTCTCTAGGGGTTGTCTGGCGGTACACTCCTCAAGGGTGCCATGCTCGCCACGCGAACACAGCCTTACGAGATGGCCAATAGGATATATGGATACGAAAAAGGCAAGTACCAATAGGACTTGTCCGCCAGTGGCGCAGATAGCCGCCGCGGTGAAGGATCGTAGTCACAACGGTGGCTAGAGTACATAGGCTCCTGAAACTCTTCACCAATAGACATGACACACCGTCTGGCTGATGGTTTTGTGATCATCGGGCACCGGGTTCACGTCGCTTGAGAACATCGAGTGCTCCATGAATCTTTTTCCGTCAAACACACTCACAGAGTGCAGTGGCGCCCCGCAACTTGAATGCCAATGCTGACATCCATGCGCAGGACGGTTGGGCGCCCTATTCTCGGAGGGCGGCTTGAGCACTTTGTGCTTAAGTTGGTAATAAATGCAGTGAGGTGTCTTTTTTTTTTTTTAATTATTGCGGTCGCAGCAGCGGTTACCGGATCAAAAATTTGATGTCCTCAGTTCAGAGATCTTTCTATTGCCTCGGGTTATCTATGACGACACTCTGATATCCAAAGATCGCTTCGTTGTTTTTCCCGCGCGGCTTCCGCGCGCAGGGCTCTGTGATTCTGGAGGCTCGTACTGTATATAGTTCTAGCGAGATGGGGTGCATCGATAACAAAGAAGTCTGATGGTTTAGACTTGTCTTCTTTCTACCTTTGGCTTTGGAGAAGCATAATGCATTGAAGATCCAGATGCGGTGGTGCTGCGCTGCCACGCGCATAACATACTTACCATGCGATGTCCTAGCCTCTGGCTCCATTTATCCGCTGTTCACTCCAAAACGAGGGTGCGACCTGATTAGTTGAGAGCGTAACCGGTACAACAGTCCCACGTCTCCGTCAGTGGTTTAACGGTCAGGGGCATGGCTGATCGTGGAGGACACGAGGATAAAATAGCCGATATCGCGGTGAGTTTGCGGAGACTCGAAACATAAAGGGACATGCCTTAGTGCAGCCCGTCTTTCTTTGGTTTGTTGAAGGCTGGAGGTGGGCTTTTCAGCATAACGGTGACGCGATAGAAGCCTCCAGGCAACACAAGGTGGGCGGGAAACGAGGGATGCAATGGAAGAATGTGTTTCATCCATACTATGTGAGCGCTGCGAAACGATTGTTGCTGATCCACGACAAAACGGTTTATTCGACGCGTGAACTAGAGAAACGGTTCTGATTCAGTGCAGCACATCCTCCATATAGAGGGAGTTCAGGCCAATATTTTACTACACAGACCGAGTGTGAATTAGGCAATACTCTATCAATCCTGGAGTGGCAGCAACCTTGCAGGGGAGTACAGAAACGAATTTGTCGTGCCAGCATGCCAATTCGATCAACAGGGCTAGACCGAGTAATAGCGCCTGGGAAAACCCGCTGTCAGGGCAAGTTCTTATCTCGACCTGAAGGCAGACACTTGACTTACTTACAGCTGTTTTCACAAAAAACTGCCGTAAGGCTGGAGATTACCTAAGTAACAGGTTTGGAGGTATCAATTATCATTTCGGCCACGTTGATTTGGCTTCGATCCGATCGTCACGCGCGTTCGACACCCTCACATCCTATTCGGGAAGCACCGTCCGAAGCAGTGGTCCTCGGTTTCAAGTTCAAGGTGAACTAATACACAGCATAGTGATCCTTGAATTGCGTAATGATTAATACGTACAGTCATTCAAGTTAACTGAAGTGTCAGTTACTATGTCATTTCCCAAATCCTTGGGTGCCTCATCCCAGCGTTTATTCGTGCTCAAAATTCGCCTCCCTCACGATCAATGTGGTTGAAATCTTCAAGTTTGCCATTCTTGTGCTGGCGTTTGGCTGCACAAAAGCTGAAGAGCGAGTGTGCTACTCAAACCCAAACAAGCCTTCTCTCCGCTTCCAGAATCGTGCTCATTAGTCTAGATGCCCCACATTGATTCTTCCCCCGCAACGAACAAAATCCCTCCCTTCCTCACCACATCCTCGCCCTCATGCCCCTCTCAGTCAATCCCTCATGCTGAAAAACAGCCGGCCTTCACCCGGACCGCCAGAATATCTGACGCAAGCAACGGGGCCCGCGTGCCAATGCGCGCATGCGACGGACAACTGAATAGCGCGGTGGTGCGTAAGTCATACCTCGGTTAGCTGCCATCTCCCTGCCGCTGCCGCCTCATGTGAAGACATTTGGTTGCCTGCAGGTATCTGAGTGAAGGTACAAAATGCCCAAATTTTCCTTCAGCTCCTCCCCTCAACGCTTTAACGCCGCCTTCATGTCATCGACCAACGTAGCTACCACGGACACACGAAGGGCACAAAAGGGTGCCTGGTATGTCGCCTCAGAGCCAACGTATGTGCCAACAAGTTTTGAGCCTCCTCGCGACCCTAATCGGTCATCTCTTAGAGATGCGTGCGTCTTCCTGGGAGTCTTGCCTGTTCCGACTGTAATCGTTTACGAATACACTGCCATGGGCATGTAGGATCTATCCCGTCCGATATAAAGGTGAGTTGTATATTTAGTGGCTCCCAAACTATAAACATCACTCAACAATCATGCGCAGCGCCACTATTACTGCCAAGCCGCTCGAGAGGAGATCCGGGAAGTCATTAATGATGTAGAGCCTCGTACCACTCATCGTAAGAGTTAAAACCTAATCGGCATGTACTTAATCTCAATGGCCTGGTTGTTCATACTAGATCCGTTACCCGCGACCCAGAGGTTTTCGAATTTTCTGGAACAGGCAAGGAGGCTGAGCCTAGTCAATGATCCAGCCACCCTACATCAGGAAATCTCATCCCAGTTCCAGATTCGGCAGCAGAGTGATGCGTTTACTCTTGCAGCGTCCGGAGTCAGCAGCTCTGCAACGATGGAATCGACTCCTGCTGAGTCTATCCTCCAATTCGATCCACTCCTTTTTGATCCCTCTTCTGTACATCCCATACATGATTCCGTGAATCTCGTCGATGGCGCACCAGATCGGGTGGTATATCTTAGTCCCACTGGCTCGGAGGGACCCAGCCATCACTCAAGACCGTCGACACTACCCGCACATCCCGAACCAGACGGGACCCCTCAAGATATTCACGTGGTCATCGAGAGCTTGAGGCTGTTCTTACGATACTGCGGATACGAACTTGTTCGTATCAGATGAACGCGTTGCAGAGATGTTCTTGAAGAACCTCTTCCGCCGCCACTACATTAGAGAATCGAATTTTGCTGCCGGTCGGCTAATTTTCCCGTGATGCGTCAGCGATATACGTTCTGGCTAGCGCAAACTACCATACCATTTCTTTTAGTATACCCCGTTTACTGTTACTGCCGTGAACCAGGCTACCCAACACACCCCTTGACCACTGCGCACATTATTTTCCGAGCGTCACCCAGCATTGGTTTGAAACCCTCATCTGCATATTAGTATGCACGTCAGCCATCGAAAAAGTGCACAAATGACCAATGACTCACATATCTGTGTTCCAAATCGAAACACAGACGAGGGTGACCTTTGGTGAATATGCCGCGAGCAGTGAGTGCACGATGTAGCAGTTCAATCTTGGGATCTAGAGATTTAGCTACGATATCGGCGCCGAATGGTTCAGCACCGTTGTTGGCGTTGTCAAACGAGAGCGTAAATGTGAGTGTTACTCTGTCGAATATCAGAAACGATCCCGACAACGCATACTTGGACATGCTCACCGGTTGCCACTTGTGACCGGCAAAACTTCATGCTCACAGTCGGAAAAGCCACTCGAGACCTGTACCACTTCCCCATTTCGTGGTGTACTCGTCGCGTTTCTGGGTGTCACTGCTTTTCACCATCGGCGCCTTGATCACAAGCTGACCCCCCTAGTGTTTGACGGGAAAGTTGATTAACAGCGTTCCAAACATGTCTGAGGAGCGAGCGGTGTCGTCATGTCCCTTGAAGAAGTCTCCCTCGGAGTAAACGTTAAGTTTGTCCAGTTGAGCAATAATACGAGCACCTCCAACGTCTTCATCCTCGTCCGAAACACTAGAGATTTCTTCATCTTCATTACCCATCTTTTTAGCAGGAAGCGAAAAGGATTCCCAGATTGTGAGGATCAAGACTTCCTGCAGGACAAGTCTTTCTTGTGTAGCACGAGAGCGCGACGGTATGAAGGATCAATCATCGCTTCCCCTCCCATCCCAAATGACGCCTGACTAGACGCATTGATGAGAGGCACGATGTCGCTCTTATTCTTTAGTGGGAAGGAGACGGGGGTGAATTTGGATGGCAAACCACCAGACGCATCCCGAACCAGAATGGCAATGGAAGCTGCCGGCGCAATAGAAAGGACGCTTGATCGCCTCAATGGCGTGGATAAGGCCCTGAAATCCTCTTGGGATCTTTTTGTTGTTCGTCATTGCAAGGAGCGATACTACACTTCTCGGGTTATTAATTCTAGTTTAGTATCTTATTTCACGGGACTGATCGGAACCGGGCACCCACGCGGACGCGGGTTGATGAACTTGGGGAACAGAACCTTTTCCATGTCCAACTTGACCCATGCGACAAGGTCCTAGTTTAGTTTCGGTGCCGTGACGTTAATCCGTTCAATCCAGGTTTGCGGGACATCGTGATATGCAATGAGCACAGGTATGGCGTTTCGCAATTCTGGCTCGTTGCTGCAACCTGACAAGCAACCTCCTTGAAAGAGTGAAATTGGAATGATCGCTGACCGTCGTCAATGAACCTCAAATCGATTGACCGTTCGCAGAGGCCTGGCTACGGTAAGCTACATCGTCAGGTTGTACCCAATTGGGATTATCGCAGTGACTGAGCAGACAGCTTAGCTATCGGTGGAATGGAAAGCATTGCGGGAAGGGTAATGTAGAAAGAATGCAAGATAAGAGTATAACTGAGAATGTATAATAATGGGAGGGCCCTGGGTTATTGAGAATTTACAATATTGGAGGACCTTGTCAGAAAACGAATTCAGTCCCGGGCGAAAAATTTGCAGGACTCGCTACGGAGTAGCGGGAATTATGTAATTCTCAGCAGGTACTCGAGCACCCTCACTCAACCTCAGACAAGCATCCTTGGCCACTCATGTCCACCCAGGAAGGTCTCAACCATAAGCGCAGTATCCAGGACACTCCAGCCGACCTTACCAAAATGCAGTTAGTCCGACAGCGACTCTCTGCATTACAGGGAGAGTTGGGCGGTGAGGCCGAAATGGGGGAGATCATGAGACACCTCGATGCGCTGCAAGACATTTTCAGCGATACAAAGAAGCTGGTGAGTTGAATCGGCAAAGGTCTTCCCGTTCCTTGCCTCAAGCACTTGTCAGACAATTCCGTTTTCTTCGGTACAGCAATCCGACCTCGAGAAAATGGGACTGGAGCGGAAGGTTTTCCGACTCGATAGAGCTGCACTGGAGGCACGCATTGAAAAATCTGATATCGAAGTGAAATACATAGATGCTCTCTGCTTGCAGATCAGCCGAATCCGACGTTCGACCAGCAAGAGAGTAAGTCCAACTTAGTCACACATTGAGCATGACAATGCAATGCCTGTATGCAGTCTGGAGCAGGCGCTCGAATGGTCCTCGATGCCATTCTTCTGACGATCGCCGACATATCCTTTGACGCGAAAGAAAAGCTCCCGGTGGCAATTTTCCCATATATGCGAATTGCATCTGGCGATGGTGTGTTGGTGAAGAACGCTAGGGACGGGTTTGAGGTGTACCTCATCGGGAATGTTGATTACGGGATCTGCACTTACCAATACGAGGAATATCGCGGTATGCTCTATTCGGTTCTTACTTGATTGTGCGATGTCACCTTGATATCCTGCCTAGTTGTGGTGCTCGGCTCTTCGCTTGACCATCTTATGATCTATACCAGAAATCCAATCATGTTAGTTGAAGCGAAGGTTGAAATGTTGATAGATTACTTGCCACAAGCTACTAGTCAGGCTGTTGCTTTGAGCGAAGTCACAGGGTGTGTTCAATTCCTTTGCCCTTGACATCACTGATTATCGTGTAAACAGCACTAAGACTGTTCGGTATTGTTTGTCTGATGGAGACGCATGGATGTTTCTGGTATACTCTCGTGATGACGAAGGAAATCGCATCTCGTACGAAGGCCCAGTACTCACCATCGACAAGAGAAATCTCCGAAGCCTCGTGGAACTATTGTATCATTGGGTATGTCCGGCTCCCAATGTGGAGTCGTGATGATAACTGACCTTTTCCCTGTATCATTTGCAGCTGAGGGCTGACGGCGATATCAAGAGTGACCCCTTGTTCGAGTTTTAATCATTGGCCTTAGCTGCTCTCCCTTGTGTTTATCCTTTCCTCGTGTTGTTTATATGATTTTTCTGTCTATGGCTGCATAGGTAATCTCCGACATGTGGGCTGACAAACGTCCCCCAATTGTACTCACGGCATTTTGAGGTAAAATTACCTTGCTTGCAAGGTCACTTCCTGCCTCGCAATTTGTGGGAACCCTCAAAGGCCGAAACGCAAAGAACCGTAAATATCCGGGACGCCGTAGGTAACCGAAGGTCAACACCTCCACCTGCAACAAGACCGAAATACTTACAAAACAGCATGCTCTACACCGGAGGCAGGAGAGCGAGAGACAACGAACTGCAGAATAGAAATAACAGAATTAGACCATGAAAAACAAAAACCAAACTAAGAGAAGAGAAGAGGAGTCACCGATGCATGCGGTGGATGTGTGAAGACAAGAACACCTACAAGGACTGCCAAAATCGGTCTAGGGTCTGCGAGAGCAAGATCGGTGTGACTGAACGAGCGCGGCGTTACAGCACGCGGTGCATGAGGCCAACCTGAGCGGGTACGGTGCAAGGCGCGCAGCAGACGCATAAGAGTCCCAAGCGCGCAGCGGACGCCAAGGAAAGAGCATGAGTGCCGGGCCACCTATGGCACACCAGCCTAAGTCAATCTCATACCTCCATTAAATCACAAATCTTGGGGACGTTTCGTTGCCTCATTGCATTTCATCAATTCATTAATTCCCCTCCCGTCGATCAGAAACAGCTAATAGCACGGCGCTGTGGTGGCCGCGCTCCGTGGACTGTTCTCTTTCCTAAAAAGCGACACTCCACCCCCTCCTCACCCCAACCACCCAGGCCCATCATATTGTCAACCCATGCAGCCAGCGCGGCACACAATCGGTGATCCATTAGAGATGCGTGCGCCCTCCCGGAAGTCCCACCTGCTCATATTGCCATCATTTCCGGATACAATGCCATGGAGATAAGGGGCCTATCTATTGTTAGCGGGTCAAAACTCCAAGAATAACTCGATAATCATGCGCAGAGTCACTATTCTTCCCAAGCCGCTCGTGAGGAGATCCATGAAGCCATTAGTACTCCAGAGTCTCGATCTCATAACACTCACTGTGAGGGTCAAATGTAATTGGCACGCAGGCAGTTTATCTCAATGGCCTGGTTTGTTCACAGATCCGTTGCCCGCGACTGAGAGGAGGTTTTCGAATTTGCTGGAACAGGCGAGGCTGAAGCCTATTCAATAATATAGCCACCCAACACCAGGAAGTCTTATCGACCCAGTGCCAGATTCGGCGGAGTGATGCGTTTACTATTCCAGCGTCCGGAGTCAGCAGCTCTGCAACAGTGAAACCGACTCCCACTGAGCCAATCCTCTAATTTGGCCCACTCTTAATTTTGCGCCTCGGCCTCCCTTCTGTACATCATATACATGATTCCCTTGGGTCTCGCCCATGGCGCACCAGTTACAGCCGCATTTTCTGTGTCAAGTTCCAACGTCAAGAACCCCACTTAGGCACGACAATTCATTCCTTCTTTGGCGCCCAAGACACGCGTTGTTATATTTCCGACGCTGCGTGCGCGCATGCTCATCTCCCGTCAAACGGGGTTGGTCAGGTCGATGCTGCAGCAAGAGCGCAATTTGTTTCGGGGAAGCATGCCGTGACCACGGCGATAAGTTTAGCGACTGCTATATGGGGAAGCGAAGCTATAGCATTTCCTAGCTCCACGACACATGCAGCAACCATTTCAGCGCCGATTGATCGCATGGGGAGCTGCGTCAACGCAACAAAGGGGGAGGGGGATCCCAACGCAAATTTTCCGAGTTAGGGGAAACCTGCGTAATATCCCGTTCCCCGGATTTAGACATCATGCTTTTCGAATCAAGATAGTAAGTGGCACAGGTTCACAATACGGTAAAAGCAGCGCAAATGCGAGAGGAAGCTGTGGGTGGAGCATTACCATTGTGGGTAGTGCGGAAGCTCCCTAGTACAGCAGCGACCGTTTCTGATTGCCGCCGACTTCATGAGAAGATAGCACCGATTGTAGCGAAAAACCGGCCACTATGACAGAATTATGTCATTTGACAGATTTTTTGATTTGATTTGACCCGATCCTACCAGATGGAGGATCTATCGTGATCATGGTCTTACTTAGTGCGTTTGGAGCATGTCACATCACTCCCAAATTTTCTTGAGTGAAAGTCACTATGAACAAATGTATTAGATAAGATATGAGCGCTCCATTATAAGGCCCGGAAGGGGGAATTCCTTAATTGTTAAGTTGTTCCCAAGCGAAGCAGCAGAGCGCATTGTAGTGGAAACGCAGTCTGAATCCTCGGCCTAAGGTAAGGCTGGTTAAAGGTATGGAAAAGAGCAAGCTCACATGGAACAGGGGTTTGTCTGGTGTAGTTCGCAGTAAACCATAATAAGTTTTGTTGCTGAAGACGTAAGCAACTGGTGGAGAAAGGACACCAAAATAGGGGCTTCGGCCTAGATAACCTGAGGCGCCATGGCAGTGGGGAGAGTAGGCCCTTCCAACTCCTTCCAAAGGCCCGCTTATCCCGCACCCCAGAGGGCTTCCCAGAACTTCCCCCCCCCAAGTTTTGGTGGAAGAAAGAAGACCCAGTGCAGAGACGTACTGGACTGAAGGACTCAGGCTCACAGCGACCACCAGGGCCCTGACGCCCCCTCTAAATATCAATGGATCGTTTGATTAACGAAGCGGATGGGGAGTAAACCCGATACCGAAGGACCGTTTTCGCTGGGCCCTGTGACACGAAGGGGCGAGTGGGACCCCTATCCTCGGCGGCTTCGCCTTGAGGCGCGGCAGCGAGAACAGCGATGAGCATGGGATGAAGTGTTATACTAATGGTACGTTAGCACAGCTAGGAGTCCTAGCAAGGGAGGTACATAGCCTTGACGCTCACGTCGGGGTTTGTGCAAGGCTTACATAAGCAGCCTCGCAGTGCATCTGACGATTAGGCAACAAATAGTTTGTTTACAAGCAGACGCATATTGGGAAAATTCAAGTTTCATCCCCAAACAAAACTTGTGCACCTTTTGGTATGCATGTTCACGATTCACGATTTAAATTTCGTTATTTGTGGAAGCGGTCCCGTTGCTGAGGATTGTTCGGGCTCAAGGGGCTAAAAATTAATAAGTATCAGCCCAGCCGCCTAAGAATATAGGGCCCCAGGGATGGGGGGCAGGGTGGCGCTGCTCAAGGCGTCGGGAATAACAGCGGGACCCTGCGGATCGGGAGGAGAATCCTGGTATAATGGGTATGCAGTTGATGGAGGATTCTTTAGTGATAAGTTTTGTCTTGGGGGCACTAGATAGCCGAATTGTTCCGATGGTGCTAAATCTGTGCCCATGGATTGCGTCCCCGGCCCGTAAATCGGCAACGCCTCCGGCTGGGATACATGTACGCATAACCTGATTCCATATTCCTCGGCCTAGTAATCTCCGGCGTTAGTTGCGAACGAGCCATCGCCACTTGAAAACATAAGTACCAGAGTCAGAACTTTTCGGAAGAGTCGCTCGATCTTGTTAGGACACACATCCCTCAAGGCCGCACGCTCCTGATATGAGTCCAGCCCTGTGAAACTTTCAGTGGTGTGGTGTGAGCGTGTGATAGGGGGGAAGCACTAACATGCGTAGGCTTTCTCTGGCATAATTGAAAGTCAGCCATTGTCAATGTACTTCAGTCCAAAATCGACTTACCCAAAAGGTCTCTCGCTGTTGAAGACGTAAGCAATAAATGACGAAAGAATGCCGAGGCAGGAAGAGTACTTACAAAACCGGGGTCTTGACTTAGATAGCCACCATGACAAGAGGATAGTAGCTATGACGGTGGCCAAAGTAGGCTCTTCGAATTCCTCCGCAAAAGCTTGTTTAGCTTCGCTCAGGAGAGGCTCCCCTAGCTCCTCCTGTCCCGAACTCTCGTGGAGAAGACGGAAGACCCGATATAACATAGGACTGAAATGGTCGTCGGGGCTCATGTCCGACGCCATGAGTGTTGCGCGTTCCATGAACCGGTGCTCATCGAAAACGTTTTCGAAGTGATGCTTTGCCAGACTAACACCGAGGAGTATTCCGGCACCCAGTGGTACTATGGTATACACGGCGGGTGGTTGGGACCATTGTCGGAGATTCACTGCTGTATTCACCAACTGAGGGATTGATTCACGCAGTAAAGAGATGATTGCCGTACCCGAAGACGCCACCCAGATTGAAGTAGCATTAGTATTAGGGGGCAGGGCTCTGGCCACACCGTCTGAGGCAGGGGCGCGTCTACGTTTCCCTTTCTCACACTAAGCGACAGTCAGCGCGTCAACCCAGGCCCAATTTGGTTCCGCTCCACTCACACTCATTCGAGATTTCTCACATTCTGTGCATTTCGCGTCTACTTTCCAATCCCGGTCACAGCGGCGCTTACTACGTTAGCGTTAAGAGTCAGTGGCTCTACTTGTCCAGCAGCAGTACTCGTCAAATACCTGGGACTATTTTGACATCCAAGACATGCTTTGTTGTAATTCCGGTGCCGCCTGCCACCAGTGTGTGCACGACTGCCCCCAACTGCCAGAGGGCACAGATCTCGAAGAGGCCGGCTCATGGTAGCTCCAGAAGGATAGGAACTCATGGGTGTGGAACGGTGCGAAGAAGGGCAAGGGTTGAGGCCTGGGAGGTGGCCTTTCCCCCTTTTCTACCATTGCGGAAGTGAAAAGCATTGCGGATTAAGAAGCAGTGGAATGTTACAACCCTGAGTCCAAACTTTTGGCGCTTTCATAAATCCATCCCCAATAGGCATTAAATGGACGCTTGGTTGACTAGTTCCACGTCCCAAAAAACGCATATACACATACACATATACCAGCCGACAGCATCCACCAACCCCCTCTGACGGTCTGATGGCCAGCGAATGGCTTGTCAAGGAGCGTCAAGAAGTTGATAGGGCGCATCAATCTAACAAACGAACTGGAAGTCACAACTTGAACACCTGAGATTATTTCTGAGCCATTTTGGTGTCGCCCCATCCTTTCCTTTGCAAAATCGGGCTGCAGGTGGCCGCGCTATTCTGGTGTGGATATTGCCAAAAAGAAGCCCCCAACTCATGACATAATGGCAAAAGCACGAATTCCATAAACAGTATACTGATGCTTATTGCGTATGTACACATGCATTGCGGAATGCGCAAATCCATGTAATTCCTACAATTCCGATATATATGTACTTACTAGCACAGGAACCAAGACTCGATTCTGCACATTCTCCAAGCTGAACAGAGTCTATCCTCGTCAAGGTCAGTGGGATGAGATACCTGTAAGAAGAGCCAAGAAGAAAGTCAGGGATGATCGTGCTTGTCAATTGCAGAAGATGATCGGTCCTTGGCTAGCGCCAGACTCTAGTTACCTAGCTCGCAGGGAATTGGCTTTACATCCGGGAATTATCAAACGCCCGGGTAATTGGTCATTCAACCTGATTGGGTGGTCCAGCCACGTCTAGTGAGGTGTCCTAAAACGTCCCAAAATCCTAATTAGTACCCATTATTCCCTGTAGTTACTAGCTCCCATCAACCGGTTATTATCTTGCTTGAACGAGTGAGTGACGACTGGAAGTGCAGATATAAGATGAGCGCCCGTCGTTCAAGGAAAACATGAGCCAATCGGCAATGTCTCCCAATTGCCACCGCGTCTAACGAGGACGTGAGTGCCAGTGGCTGATCGTATAGTACATGACTTGTTTCCCACCTGAGAACCCGATTTGGAACCAAATGAAGCAATCAAAGCCACTGATGGCGTGAACCCTTAATGATTACCAGATGTGGCAAGTGCTAATTATTTCAGTCGTAACCAAGCCGATTATCTTATGTAATGCAGAGTAGAACGCCGTGGTGCTACACGAAACGTCCATGACTTGTCTGTGTGGAAACTCGAGATTCCGTCCCGTTGTGCAAAAAAATTCATGTCCGACGCGCGACCAAAGATTGCACATGATTTATTCCAGAAAATTACGGCGAGTTGATCAGGAGCAAATAAATAGTGGTGTATACCCGATTCAGCCCCACAGAACGCGATGGGTCGCCAGTGCGAGAACGCATTTCCCCGAGGTGGTAGTCTTTGACGCACATCGACCCATTCCCCTAGCCTTCCTAACAAACCCCACGCAATACCTGCCCGAAAGCTACCGGGGTTCCACCAAAAAACAAGAAACAAACAAAAAAGGGGGGGATGAATAGCCAGCCAGGTCATGTGATTGACCCATTTTGGAGGTCGATTATCATTTATTTGATTTCTGGGACGATCACATGACCCGCCCGGCACTTGTCATTTTATTTTGTTGCCCGCTTCCCACCGCCAGCCCAGACGCTCCATTCGTTAATCCAGATACAATGCCTGTTCGATCAATCCTCAATACTCAAGCACGTTTCGTTGCATTCGTGCCGGAATTCATTCCGCACCCCAAAAAATGCCTCCTTACAACATCCACATATCCAGGCTCCGTCGATCAATGGCACTGGAAGCAGCTGGCCTCCTCCCTCTTAATGTCTCAAGTAATGGCAGTTATTAAGGTGCCAGTCCACGCGACCGACGACTGAATAGCGCGCGCTTGTGGTGCATGAGTTGGCCACGCTCCTGTAACAACTGCGCAGCGCGATACCTCGATTAGTGAGGTATTACCTGCTAGCGCAAGTCCGGTCCTTATATACATCTTGTAATGACTCTACGCCACTGAAGTGAAACATGAGTGGTAGACAACAAATGGAAGACAAAAGCGTGAAGACAAAGAGTCAAAGCTGTAATGAGTTTGCCGTCGTTCGCGCCTCAAAGCGCCCCTCCCCTTCCCAAAGCGTGAATGTCCGGCCCGGGTGACTCCCTTGACCACCAGTGGCGTTGGGCTGCAACTTCTAACAGCTCCGTGAGCTGTTCTTTTTTTTTGCCACTGTGAGGAGGGCTGCTCCAGATGCTGCAACGATATGTGGTTTCTCTTTTCCCAGAAAGTGACTCTCCACCCCTCCTCACCCCGATCACCAAACCTCACCCGCGTCCATCATTTATCAACCCAGTAGTCAGCACCAGCACACGAAGGAGTACCACGGGGTACCGAGTGTGCCGGCTCAGGGGGAAGGTATAAGCCAACTTTTGGCTTTTTTCCGGAAGTCCCGCCTGCTCATATTGTCATCATTTCCGGATACGTCTGTGGGGCGTATCCCACCCGAGATGAGAGTGAAGGCTTTATTAGTGGGTCACAGGCTGTAAACATAACTTGAGAACCACTATTCTTGCAGAGCCGCTCGTGAGCAGATCCACGAAGCCATTGGTGCTGCAGGACTCACCGTGAGAGTCAAAATGTGATTGGCACACAGTTTATCTCAATGGTCCGGGTTTGTTCAACACAGATCTGTTGCCCGCGACTGAGATGTTTTTGGAACAGGCAAAGTCGAGCCTACTCAATAACCTAGCTGCCCAACCATCCCGACGTCGAAAAACCTCACCTCAGCACCAGATTCGGCGGAGTGCGTTGACGCCCGCAGCGTCCTGCCTCAGGCTCTGTAATGATGGAACCAACTGTCTCCTTGAACTTGAATTCGACCCACTTCCTCTATATCCACTGTATGCCTCGAACTCCATCCTACACCTTGACCCTTCAGGACTATCAATACCGCGCACCTCGATCTAGGCGCCGCCGAAGACATTCAGGCAATTATCAAAAGCTTGAGACCCTTCTTACGAAACTACGGGTACCAACTTGTTCGTATCAACTGAACGTGTTGTAACGATCTAGTTGGAAGGTTGTGCAATGTTCTCTTCCGCTACACCATTAGAAAATCATTCTGCTCCTTGGGCAGCTGTGGCCAATTTTCTCGTGATATCGTTGTGGTCGGCGCGAACTGCTATACCATTTTTAGTAGACTACCCAACACCCTAAACTGCACACAGTTTTTCCGAACCTGTCATCTTTGCGAGGCTAAAGCGATCACCCACGTAAGCCATAGGAACGCCAGAGATGTAGTGTTGCGGCGTATGTATAACCCTTCGTACCGGCACTCCCCAACACACAGCCGATTCTTCCGATTAGTCGGCGATGTCTTTTCGATCCCTTAGGCCACGTCCCTTAGTAGTAGCCGCCTCCTTCTCTCATAAATAGGTCCCATATGATCAGCGTCTAAGACCTCTTCGTCGATGGGTGCAGCGAGATTTCCCACCAAGTCGTATCTTCGACTATGTGTATTATATTCGCCTAATCGCGCCTCAGATTCAACCTTGGTTCGCGTCTTCCTGGTTGCGTTGTGTCATTGCAGGAAGTGACAGGCCAACTAATGGTTTCCAACAACTAATCCAGTAATGTGCCTTCGTTCACTTGGCTCCACTTGTTCCGAGCCAAGCAGCACACGCCAATTACTTTAATATGGTCGAATTCCCGCCGAAGCTAACGACGCATTGTGGGAAATAGTATGCTGTACCGTATTACAGACGCTGCACTGGCGACCAGGACAGTACTCACGAGATTGCCAAAGACGAGTGGATTAGATCAAGCCAAAAATAACAATAATAAGGGTTCCAATACACATCAATCGCAAACCGACGTGACCTTATATAACACGGTGCTGCTTTGGTCAGCTGCATGAACACCCACGATTAAGACGCAGCTTAGACAAAAAAAAAAAAACTTACCAAGACCCGTAAAACGACTAGTATGAGATGTAAACAACCTGACGCCTCGCGAGTACGCAGGGAGAACGAACACTCCCCAACTAAACCCGCGTACAAGACATCTCGCAGCATCTTTCGGTGCCCTTCCGCAATGGACTTCGTTGCTAACATCAGAATCAAAATCCGAAGTCGTACCGATTGGTGCCCCATTCGCGACGAGCGTGTACTTCTCGGACCTTAAGAAGAAGAAGAAGAAGAAGCGAAATTACCGACCGACGCGCATGTCAGAAAGGAATCAACTCGTTCACAAAAATGGATGACTCACCGAAACCCTGCATCGATGATCGTCAACTTGATTCGATGTGGATACCATAGATCATAGAAATCATAGGGTCTGTGGGGATCTGCTAGGACACTCACGGCCCTCCAAGGTTCTAGGACTCTCTCCGCGCAATCTCGTTCATCGTTATTTGTCAAAATCCCGGGCTCGACTTGGATGGGGCACTGTTCAGTTTCTCCAATAGCCTATAAGGGAACGAGAGATTCATTAGGAGGTAGCTTAAATAGAGATTCGAGTCGGTTTGATAATCACATATTCAGGAGTAGATATAAGAGGAACGATGTTCGATGTTGAAGTCTCAGTCTCCGTCCTCGTGACATTCAATAGCTCGCGCGAAGTCTGTTTGAAATTTGGATTCACGTAAAGGTGGATGATGAGCGCAATATAGTAAGGATACTACACAAGTATTCGGGGCTTGCGACGCACATTAGATGGTTTGAATGACTGCGCTATGGCATCGACTGTATCGGTGGTGATGCTCGAAGCCACAGTCACCCGTTCGGTTTCCGTCACAGTCTCGGTTGACGCCGATGTCTCAGTGAAGGTGACATTGATGGTAGTAATCGTCGGAATGGATATGGTCACTGTTGAGGTTCGTTCGTCGAGAATTGTTGATGTCTACGCCGTTCATGAGCACGAGCTGGACAAGGATACCGGCCTGCTCACCATCCACGAAGTCTGCGGGGAACCGGGGAGAGTGGTTCGAAGTGTTTGAGTCTGCCATACCGTCACAGGGTCCTGAATCCAACCCAAAAACCATTGACAAATCTACCAAGTATCGCGCGATGGGCTTCAACGGACCTTCGTCACATATTCTGTCGAGGGTCCCAGAGTGACCTCCTAAGTTTGCCCTCATTAGTTTGACAACCTCATGGGAAACCCAAGAACCCAGGGTGTAGGCACCTTGGTGCTGGTTTCGGTTAATGTCTTCATGCATGTAACGTTTTGATTAATATGCAAGGAGGCTCATGTCAGATCCGATAACGTACTACATTGGTGGGAGAAGGGGTTGCGACTGTGATTGTTCTGATCAATGTCGTGGTTGCTGTCAGAGTCTAGGAATGAGGTAGACGGAGGCATTAATCTCGGTCAGAAAATCTTCATGTACCATAGTCGTAGTAACAGAGGACGCTGGTTCTGTAACAGTCTTTGTTGACCATCAACGTGCCGTCAACGTGGAGCTAAGGTTCGTAAAATGAGCGAACTGACAATCGCAGACGGGGCCTGAGGATCGCCTGAAAGCGCGCTGGTTTCCCGCCCAACAACTGAAGTCGGAAGTGCGGGGGACACACTCTTAGGCGACGGTTGCTTTGTTCCAACCGCCAAGATTGGCCGTTTGTAAATAGTAGCCGTCTCAAAACCAGCCATTTCAGTATAAACTGATATTGAGAATACCCACACCTCATTTTCACGTAAAGGAGGCGTGTTGGTTGGTATGAGGAACGATGTCGTCTCCAGTGTTGAATAGGCAGTACTAGTTGCGTCAATGGGACGCACAACGCCCTGCTCTGAATCTGTATAGAGCGTAGAGGATAGCCGATCATCTCCCCCAGTTACTCTTCTTTCGACTAAAGTGGTGCCATGCACTTCCACCCTTGCAAACCCGTCTTCAGTTGCGGGCCAAAGTCTGACGCTTTCCCAAACACCATCTGCGAGTGGGAGATTTAGAAGAAAGAGTACCCAAACGGGGGCAGAACGACCTCGCAGCATTCGTTGGGAAAGATGTATGTAACAACGTGCTGTCCAACCCGAGGCCCGGCCAACGGAACTGATCCCCCGATCAATTTATTGACATTCCTTGGCAAACTCCGTAATTCAAAAACCCTGCAATTTCTTGGTGTCAACCTCCACGAATCAACTTGGGTCGGAACGCACTAAAGTAAGGGAACGCATAAAAATCAAGTAACCCAAACTATATATCATGTCTCCATGCCAAGCGCGTGATAGTTGAACTAGAATTCCCACGGCTCGACCATTCAACGCTAAAGTAGTTGCGTGGGAATTCAGGTCCCGAGGGCGGAAGGTATATTTCTCGTTACCTTGCCCGAGACACTGGTTCATAGCACAACGCTTCCGACGCAAGCTGGATCGTGGACATTGGCCGTGAGGAACCAACGTGATTCTTGAATTGCGGAGTTTGCCCCAGGAGTTTTTTTTTTTTTAATTAAATAATTCGTATCCCAACCTGCAAGGGACAACTTGAACACTCTTGATCTTACGTGCCTTCCTTGAAATTTTCAAAAGCTGAGGATAAGTTCGATTCGCTTATCTGGAGGTGCTAACCCAACCAACCTCCCAACCTGTGCAATGCGCGAACCCTGCAAAAAATCATTTCAATGCAACGAAGTGACGTCACGGACGTCGCAACACGCTTGCCACGATGTGCAGCGAGCACCATATTCCAGTTCCACTCAGGCCATACTACGACCCTACGCTGCGTCCCGGAGTTTGAACGCCTGCCGCGACCCTGCCACGAACCACGTGTGCTTCGCTTCGAAACTCGTCTCATCTCCCACACAGACAAGTCGATTGAAGCCTTCGCCCTCCTCCAACTCCTGTCGTGTTAGGGTTCGTCACAAAAGCACAGGCTGCTTCCGTTTCCATATCACACAGACACAACGCAACAGGACAACCCTTTATCTTCCCAAAGTCGGATCCTCACCTCTATGCAGCTGATTCCCTACTTGCTTTTCCTCATCCCCCTTTCCTACCCCATCATATTCCAATACCCTAACACATCGTCAACTTCAATCAGGATCACCGGGGGTGTTCAGCACCAGTTTGGAGCTCTAACGCACTATCCCTGCGGAGCCTCCTTCTCCCTCTCCCTCGTCCCAGACCACCCGACAACGCCAGCGGCCATCCTACTCCGTCTCCCTATATGTAATCGTTGATTTGTCTCCCTAGTCATCTAGTACGGCGTACGTCTCCATGTACAGACTACAAGAGCCTCTTTCGCTGGCGGAAATGATGTTCTCCAAGCCAGGATATGAGATCGAGGGTTTGCCTGCAACCGTTCGGGTTAAGGGCAAGGAGAATCAGGTAATTCATAACACTTTGCGCCAACCACAACATATACATCATTAGCACTACGATGTATACAACATCACGAGAAAATCGACTACCCAGTAGCAGAATGATTCTCTAATGGTGTAGCGGCACAACACCCTCACGACAACGTTATCACCTGAAAGGAACGAGCTCGTACCCGTATTTCCACAGGAATGGTCTCAAGCTCTCGATGATCACATGAATGTCTTGCTGGGGCAACGACGAATCAAGATATGTGGGTATCGGCGGTTGGCCATCGCATTCCAGCCAGTTCATGCTCTGGTCGCTAGCCATTGAAGAGGTTGAGGACCCAGGTAGCAGGTCGAAATCGGGGGCGGGACTTGAGACATACGGCGGAAGTAAGGGGAATGATGTGAATCCGGGGATAAGCTCAGAGTGAGCCGAGTCCATTGTTCCAGAGCTGCTAATGGGGGAGGTTGCAGGAGTCGATGTATCACTCGGCCGAACCCGGTGCTGAGGTGAGGCTGCCCGATATTGGGGTGACGGAGTGGCCCGGGTATTCAACCGGCTCAACATCGCCCGTTCCAACAAACCCGAAAACTTCTCGGTTGCAGGTAATGTATCTGTGAGCCAACCCATGGAGAGATATTGCAGGCCATTTGCATATTAACTCTTACGGTGGTAGATGCGGGACTTTGCACTGCTAATAGCGTCGTGGATCTCCTCGCGAGCGGCCTGACAGGCGTAATGATTCTGTACATAAATAAATACTGAGTTACATTCCCAGTGTATGACCCAACGAAAAATTGTCACCCTCATCCTAGACGGGATTGACCCCACCCGTCCATGACATTGAATTCGAAAGTAGTTGCAGTCGGAGCAGACAGGACTTCCGGAAGGGCGTACGCATCTCTAAGGGATGGTTGATTAAAGGTAGGAAAGGACGACCGAGAGTTGGCTCGTACCTTGCCCCTCAGGCGGCACACTAGGCACCCTGTCGTGCTCCTTTTCCGTGTAGCGGTGGTTGCTATGCGGGCTGATGACATGATAAATCTGGGGGGGACTTGAGGGCGAGAGGTGGAAAGAATTCTGGACTACCGAGGAATTTATATCTTCCCTCCCATAGCTGCAGGCAACCGGGTGGTTTACATGAGGGTAGGGATGCATCACTCAACAGTGCAAAAACGCAAACACACACCAATGCGGTACCTGGAGCAACCCTCCTACCCAATCTTACAATAATGGCAAGAAAACAGGTCAGAGAAGCCGCGCAGCACGGCCACTTTCCCAACCAGCGCTGTTCAATTGTGCGTCGCGTGGGTCCCATAAAATACATGCCCTGCGTAGTATGTTACTTCCGCCAGACATTGCCGGGGCCAGGAAGGGTGGGGGCAGCTTTTTGTGTCAACTAGGGGTGATTCTGGGGAAATGGGAATCTTGCTCGTTATGTGGGATGAATTAGTGAATGCAGTAGGAGGGGCGAGTGATAGGGTACTGAGAATTCGATCGAACAAGTTCTCGTCCGATTATCCGGGACAATGTCTAGCCCCACCGCAAAAGTTACCACCAAAAATGCCCCTGATCGCGACAAAAGACGATTTCCTATTATGTAGACTTCCGGTGATTCGTTTGAAGAGGCGTATGGGGGAATGCTGAAAAGGGTGACAGGAGTGTTCAGCTATGCGGCACCCATCGGCCTTCGAAGCAGCTTCGGCTTTGTACTAGCAAGAAGCGGACACAAATAGGGCAAAGGCTCGCGTTGAAGGTCTCTACAACATACAGACCTTCAACGTTGATCATGGCCGAGATGAAATTTGAGTATGAATGAACACACCAATGTAACGTTGAGTAATTGGAAAAGCTAGAAGAACTCGTGGCACATGTAGTCATGTGCAGGCTGTCCCTCGTACACATAGCAACCTGCGTTTTGGGTGCGAATCGACAACAGCAGCACACCGGCAACGACGTGCTCTCATTGTGGTCCGGTTAATTTGGCAAGGACAACAGGAGCCTTTGTGATAGCTCATAGCTCATGAGTACCAGGTTCTTCGGAAGACAGTAAGGAACCCTCGCTCCAGAGGAATTGATGGAAACACATGATTCCCCGTTGTGGATAAAAAAAAAATAGTCCAGACTGAATCTCAAAGTGAGGATCGCATGCGCGATCAATGAGTGGACTAAATTTCAAAAAGAACGGGAAATAAGAGAAAAAAGTTAAGGTAAGATAAGATTTTATTTGACCGAGACAAATGGACCACACTTTACCGAACACCGTAGCACTTCTCCGAGTCCACAGGAACGGTCCCATTACCAGAACGCATTTAGTGAAGAATCGAGAGCAACTTGAACAAATCCAAGAATACCGGGACATGAGATATTTGCCCGACTGGACATTAGATCTGAGACCCAATGGGGGCTCGGACGGCCTGGCCTGCGCTTCCAGGTCCCTCCATGAAACACGTGATGCTTCCCGTTTTGGAAGCACTTAACCGCTTTAAATAGACTCACAGATTTGCCCTTCCTGAAGTTTCCTTGTCCAGAAAAAGCTGAGATTGAGGGATGAGAAAAGACATCCCCTCCCAAAGAAAGCGGGAGGGGGTTGCTGCTTTCGATCAAACACTGACGAAAATGGCGATCCCGGAGCCTGCTGACCAACTTTCCATCATGATGTAGTACTGGCACGAAAGAACTCAGATTAAGTCATATCTTAGGTACGATAGTCGTTTATGTACAATATGGAGGGATACAGTAAGGGAATTGGGTACTTGGGTCAGAAGAGCATGATGGGGGGGTTCGGAGATTATCATACATAACATGGGTCCGTGTAAGCTTGGGGACACCGTGCCCGCTCAGTTGCAAGGCCACCATGAACAGACAAGCGCGGCAATGCATCAGACAATACAGGACATATTGGTCCTTGCTATCTGTTGCAATGCCTGTCAGTGATTGAGCGGTACGATATCATACCCGATGCTTCTCAAATAAACCCCCAAAATTTCGATGGACGGCATAACTTCAGTGGGACCTGAAGGCATGAAAGGGGGAGGTGGAAACAGAGGCTGTGCTAGTGGAATGCCAGCAATCGGTGCTTGAAAGTCCGTCGAACCAGAAACGCTGGGGGTGCCTGTGTAAGGGAAAACTACGACATCTGAAGGCTCGGTTGGATCCCCTTTGGTAAACCACGATGCATTCGAGGAAGATGTACTGGCGCTACCATAGAGAGAGGACTGCGACGGGTCATAGAGATCGAAAGGAACGAAAAAATTCGGATTTAAGCTATTGCTTGACGCCATAGGTTGTTTGGATAAATCTGGCAGGATTCCAGATCCGTTGCCAGATTGCAAAATGTAGTTCAGATCTTCGTCAGGGTTGACAGGTGTTAAAGGAGTGTGGGGCGGCTCGGAGGAAGACTCAGAAAAGGACGCAACGCCTGGGGGCGTGGATGAAGTCATGACTTGAGTCGCGAATGCTCTGGTTATGGGCAAAGCAGCTGTAGATCCTAATCAACAAAATGGAGTCTTTCAGTGCCCAACAAACGTACCGACGTGTCTACGACGACGTCTAGTGCTAATTGCAGCCCTTATCTCTTGAAGACAGGCCTGCCCATCGGCTGAGCACTTGAATTACATACTTCACTCAGTACAAACTTGGATTCGCAAGTCCGAGTCAGATGAACCGCGAAACACACCTCCATCCAAGACGGTACAGGGTTGTATCTCCTTACGCACTCAATGCGTAAATTGAGGCATTCAAGACAGGTTCCACCATCAGACCCACTACACTTCTGCAGAGGACGGATAGTGAGCGCGGAGTCCGGATTATGGTTTCAATCTTCCTTACCTTACTCCGAAGCCGGCATACCAGGCAGCCGGTTAGGAAGTGGGGTAGAGTGTGCGCGCATAACGAGTCTGAGTGAGTAGCCATGTCTGTCTGTGCTGTGGAATGAACCTAGCTGCACAAGCATAGTGCTCGGTCATCTTATACTGTGCCCGGCGGATAAGAATCAATCTCAAAGCAGCACGCACGAAGCGCAAGGTCGATACTGAATGCTCGCTCTCCGAAAGAAAATCTCGTTGGCACTCCCGTGGCTAGAGAAACATGGAGTTCGCGTCCGCAATTGCCTATCGCAGTATCAATCCCAGAGCAAAGAAAAATTTCAATTCAAACCCCGGCGCATCTGATGGTGCGCGCGCACCTTCCGCGCATCAGAGCTACCGGAATCCGGGGTGAAGTTCCAGCATGAACTAGGGTGTTTCTACGTCCCTGACGGTCATCCATTCTACCTCAATGTGAGAAATTCTACTCGGAAAGAATCCAACCCAAAAACTCAGTATTTGAAAAAATCCCTTGAAAAGGGCCCCAGAGGGTGAGCCGTATTGGCACCGAATAGTTAAATCAATGGGCAACGCTAAAGCCTACTCTAAGTTGTGATAACCCCTAGCACGGCCCAGAGATGAGATACATGGAGGATGAGACGACGAATCTGCGACACTGCCAGTCTGACAGCGCACCACGAGGAGGTGAGAAACAGTCAGCAATGCACGCACTGGATTCACATTGGGTCGAATCATCAGAATCCCACGCACTCATGAAACGGAGGACGCAGTTCAATGGCGCGCGCCCTACTGAAACCGGGACGAATCCCAGCGCAAAAGGAAACCTACTTTATTTCACAGAGACCTGAGGGAGCATCCTGTGCAGGAGGAATTATCTTCCTAATTAGCAGCTGTAAGAAAGCTGCTACAAGGTGACAAACCTGTGTTCCGTACAATGTAACCCACACTGCTCCGGGGTGGTTCCGGAATATCACTCATCATAATAAGAAGGTATAATCTCCCGGCGTGCGCCAGAAGCTACCAGCCTCCAAACAGCAATCATAAACCACGGCTGGCTAATTCTGGGAAGGGACCGATGCTGACAATTTATGTAATGGAAAGTTCCATGGATACACAGCGGCGCCGGTCCGCAAGAAGACACCAGTTTCAAGGTCACACGAAATTAAACGGCCGCGCGGCAGTGCACTGTGGAACGTTGTGGCTGAGCTGGATGTAGACGACATCGATGGGCGTTGTGCAGATGCCAAGATATTGCCTCATAAAAGCAAGTGACACATATTTTCTGTCGAGCCAACGGGCGTTGCGGTATCGGGTCGCTATGAAACACTGAAGAGTGTAAGGGAAGAGGGACACGTACTCTTCGACCAGCTGACGGGTCGCCAAGCTTTAATTTTGGGGCTGACCACAGATCTAATGACGGGACGAGAGGACGAGGAATGTACTGGCCCTGGTATCATCAAAAATTACTCAGGAAGTACATCCCACGCCATCATGTCGTGGGCGCTAGATCTCGAAGCCTTTCAGTTACTTGCCAATGCGCATTCTGTCTATCAAAGTCTCTTCCAACGACTTATCCGAGCGAAAATGTCGACTGTGGGCAGGAGGGTTCCATCCACTCCTCAGAGGCTTGAGGGGCAACCTGGCACGGTGGATGTGATCAAGCTGTAACGGCGACCAGGATGTAGCCGAAATCCAAAATGGCCGTCCCTATCAGAGCGTACGTATGCACCAGTAATTTGCATTGGCACCCTTCTTCCGCCTCATGCACAGCTTCGCCCTTTTAGGGCATCGCGAGTCTCGACCACGACTTTTGGGGGTCTGCTGAGAACTGTATTGATGTTTCCGGAGGGGGGGGAAGTTATCTTCAGACACCAGGGATCCAGAAATACAGACCCCACAGACTTTGCCCGAAATCCCGGAAATCATCTAAAACTGATGAAATGCTCTAAAAAACCTGGGAAGCGCTTCATGAGTCTGTCGCCATTGATGGAAAGCTACCCTGCGTTCAATGCTAGACTGGCGTTCTGCTACGTACGTTCTGCGCGTGGAGCCGAACACGTAGAAAACAAAGAACTCTCGGTAGCCGCACAACACATCCCAATGTAGGGAAACACACTTAGTTTTTACAACTCTCCCAGGGAATTAGAACATACGTTTGTCCAAACTCTGACCCAACCCCGGAGTTCATTAGGCAGAGGGCTGGATTCGAAAGTCAAATCACACCACAGTTCTGAGCGGAGCCTTCAGCGTCCTTATAGGCCCTAGTCAAAACTCCATCACACTGATTCTCGCGATCGGCACATGTTTATCGACCCCGATAGTCCTATGCTCATACTGGGATTCGCGCAAGCAAAGGAGGCAACAAACGAACCATGGTGATGAGATGAAGCAGACTAGCTTGCTTCCAGTGAAACTAATACAGGGTATAGTAGCCTTCCAGAAAGAAAAAAAGCAAACAGCCGAGCAACCTCACAAAGAGATCCGCGAGCAACCATTCTTCATAACCGACGTCACATCACCGCGATATAGGCACAACCTCATATCCGTAGCTTCGTAACAGAGTCCTCATGCCTTCGATGAACGCATCGGGGCTCGCCTTGGATGTAGGTGGCATACCGTAAGTATAAGATGATGTGCATGGATGAGGACGATTTGGGATGGGATTTGGCTCCGAACGGTACTCGCTCAATATCGCCGTGCTCTTTGGTGAAGAGGTGTACGGAAAAAGCACGTAGTCAGAACTGTCGTTCGTATCTCCTTGAGGAATGAATGATGACAGTGGGGAGAATGATGAACTAGCGCTGCCATGGCTTGAGGTCATATCGTCTAGACGGTTGGAGCAGGAGTCCGAACTGCGATTTGGCGCGAAAGGGACCATGGACGGGTCGCTCGGAGGGAGGCTGGATCTTTCGTCATAATCGAGGACATACTTCAGATCGTCCTCTAGGGGGCTTGTTGCGGGGAAGGATCTGAATGAATGAATGAAAGGTTGGTTGCGAGCTTCGCAGCAAAAGCTCTAGTTTGGGGTAAAAGAGCTAAAGAGACATTGGATCAATAAACTGATGCTAGGCTAAATAGAAGATGTGTTCACGCACCGACATCCCGACGGTAACGCCTGCTGTTGACCGCGGAGTGAATTTCATCTCGACAGGCTTGTCCTTCCACGGAGTTCTATAGCGCACGATCAATCTTCTTTGTGAAGCCGTCGTATTTGGTTGACTTACCTCCATCAAGGAGGAGATGGATCCAAGCTTCTTGACGCATTCAACGCGCAATTTGCAGCAGGCTGGGCAGCCTGCACCGTTCTCGGTCCTGAGACAGCGCTAGTCAAGAATTAATATCCAATTTCGTCATCACCCGAAAATGAGAATTAATCCCACCTTGCTTCGGAGCCGACATACAAAGCATCCATTCCCACCTCGCTGACCCTGGACGTTGGAAGTGGGTGCTTTGAACGAGTCCAGTGAATGTGTAGCCATAATGTTGTCCAGTCTGCGTTAGATGTTCTGCTGGGCAATGGGGAAGCGCAGGTATTTATTATTCGAAGTGGCTATGTCTATGTGCATTGATGAGCGCTCTCGTTCTAAGCACGGACGCCTGCAGGCACGGGAAGCTGGTTGCCAGGAGACCGGATGGGTGTGAGTCGGCAACCATTTCGATTGATTCACATTCACATACAGATTGGCAACCGATAAGCTGCCCTGGCACACTCATATGGCCTGCCGGGATCGGATGGCATACATACGGAAGATAGGGACATCACACAACTCACGTTGCGGAGACGGGCTGTGCAGGCAACGACAATTTGAAGTGGTAGAAGCCCGGGGCGGGCCGCTTCGCAGCGGCCAACGTGCTGACATGTCCGCGACGTAAGCTACAAGACTCATCACAACATACGTGTTTGTGGATATTGGTGAAAGGTGCGGAGCTTGTATCACAAGGTAGCATTCACGACCGTGTGCATGCTCGGCTTCGTCCGATTGCAGTTGCAACAATTTTTTTCGGTAACTCACTTCATACGATTGAGACGATAAGGAGCATGGCAAAAAGCGATGATGCGACCGATTTCGAGAAGCAATACGCGGGCACAGCAATATCAATGGCAGTAGAATCGAGGAGATAATTAACTGAGAGATTCTCAGGTGCTGTTCGGTTCCCAATTAGACTCAAACGGACTATCTCGGTAACCGTTGCCACAGAGATGAAAGACATGGAAACCGACCCCGTCATCCCTTATTGCATCGCCCTTGCCAACCTAATCGCATGTTAGGAGCTATGAATCGGGAGCTCGGAGCACCGAAGGGAAGGGGGAGTGCCGTGGAAGGATCTGATAATAGAATCGGGTTGGCAGTAGTTTTTTAATGCATCGCTTGGCAGCGAGATGATTAGCAATTTCAACGTCCGCTCGGGTATACCAGCACTCAGCACAGAGCCTGAAAAGCATGGTGCCAGGATCTCTGCCTCACTCCGGGACTGTTCCATACAAGCGCCGTGATGCGCAATGGAATGATCCGATGCTATAATTGATGCGGTTGTGTCGACTAAGTACTTCAGGTTCCCCGCGCGCATTTATACGCGGCCAGTACAAACAATGGGGCACCCCCGTGCCATGCGAGGTGGGATAGCTGTTGCCTATTTGCGATCAAACAGAAAACAGAAACCCTAACGCGTGCCGTTGTCATGGCTGAAACAAGGAGCTGTAACGGAGAATCCAAAACACTTGGCCAGCAGGCAATGGCATGTGCAAGTCAATTGGTTCACATCCATCAAAGAGATCAATCAAATGGACGCATGAGAATTTTGTGCACGTTGCAGATGTTGAATGGACAGATGATCCCTGGCGCTATATAAACTCGGGCCTTCGAATTAGACACTTTGCATGAAGAACAGCACACTGAGAGCGAGTGTATGTTGATTGGAGGGGACTGATGAGGGCTGGTTCGCGTTCACACTTGGGCGCCCAACCAGGGCGGCCTACAGCTGCCGGCCCCGAGGAGATGAACTGAATGGTTGAGTCCCAAGGTCCTGATCGATACTGGACCTGTGAATTAGTTCTGCTTGGAACATTCCGACTGCGCAGTGAGTGTGCGCAAGGCGAGGAGAGTCAGGTGCACCAGATTCAGTTTGCATTTAACAGTTGCCAGATGAGCGAACAACCCATCCAGAACGCTGCTTTTTTGCAAGTAACAAGTTTCCGATCTAGTCGACTAAGTACTAGAAGAAGCCTATGAGTCATTTCGGATGTGTCCTGATTCCTCTTCGGGTACTATCAGTTGCGCCCTCAGTACGTGCTTACAAAACGCCCTGATGTAGAACGGGAACGAAAGAGCGAGACGAACGAGGGGGTACGTCATGTCCGATTCTTTGTTCCCGCCGTTACTAATGGTGGCTTGGATATCGATGCAGGGGTTAATTACGCGGGCGATAGTGAGTAATAAATGGAGAGACGCGTCTATCATAATCTCCACAGTTGAGGAAGATTGATCAACGGCTATCCTAGGTCGTAGAAAGATGATGCATGGTCCCAGCATGAATACCATAGGACATAGGACATAGATACATGGCGGGGGCAAGTATATTTCACATGGTGGGCGCGATAACTTGATGGCAGTCCCTGACAATTGGCACAGCCAGGTGCGCACTTGTGCAAAGAAATAAGGTCGTAAATGTCCTGTTCAGCAAAAGACTCTATTGAATGGATGGAGGGTGTTGTCCCTGACAACCTCCGGCCTCCGTCCATTCGTAATAAAATGAGCGGTATCCTTTTCGTTCTTCCAGTGAACGTTTTAGAGGTTGCAACCATTTTTGGGTGCTCAAGCATTGTGCAGATCCATCGGATAATGTTGACGCGCAAATGACCACGGAGAGATGCCGTTGATGATGCAATATTCTTCTGCGGTAGGTGTTACCACAGGGCCCTGGCGATCACGAACCCCCCCTACCGAACTAGGGGGATGATCGTTAGGTACAATGCCCTGCATGTTCCCGATGAATGAATTAGGGCTGGGAGACCCTAAGGGAGGGAACGGCTGGATCCAATTGATCTGTGGCGTGTTTAACGCGGGAATGGATGGGCCGGCTGGGAATGCCTTGGCTTGGATATGATCGACGGAAGATCCCTGGTCACTCAGGAACCCCTCACGCCCTGCGCTGTGGGGAGTGGCGTAGGTGTATTGCACCTGGTCCCTCGGCGATGTCAAAGTGGCACTAGGAGCGCCACTGTACACTGTGGTTGGAACTTCTCTCTCCTCGGTGCACGATCGGTCTTGTGGGGTGTGATGGAGGGTCGGAAAGATCCCTGAAGCAGGGCCACGGTGTCGCAGCTTAAATGCCAGTCTACGGGTCTTGGGCAGCTGAGCTAGAGTGATGATCGTACCCTGTGAATCGCATCGTGGGGTAATAGGACATACCGACGTCCGTGCGGTCGCGAACACTCCGCACCGCATCCTTGATTTCTTTGCGACAAGCGCGCCCTTCTTCAGAATTCTACAGGTTGCGTGGGGTGAGGGGGAAAGCGTGTGACTAACGATGCTTGCAACTCACCTTCACGCTTGAAGGAACTGGTCCGTTCTTCGGAACACATTCGATTCGCAACTTGAGACATGAAGAGCACCCAGTAGTATGCGAGCCTGACCAGTTGCAACCCTTTTTCGCGACGTGGGAGAAAAGTAGAGTGTGAGCGCCAATACTTTCATGTTCTCGAAACAAGGAACATACTTTTCTACGAAGCCGGCACACCATACAGGGGCCTGCCCTGGATGGGGACGAAGGAGCGTATAAAAGAGAGCGTGACTCTCGCACTGCAGCCATCCCGGTGTCTGGAGGGCTCTGAGACTTGCTAGGGGTGGCGTCTTATATACATCGTCCTGCATCAAATGATTCCTGGAAAGGTGATGGACGTACCATATGACCAGAGAAGATGGCACGAAGCTGAATTCATTCTCCCGAACTTATGAACTTCCTTTGGGCAGGGCGGGCTCCATGCTCCGAAAGTAATCAAATTTGGCTATGACTCTGAATCTTCCACCGATAAAAATAGCTTGTTTGGGAAAAAGAGCTCACGGACTGACCATCGATACACAAGAAATGCAAGCAAGGCGTAACCGTTAAGCCTAAGACGCAGAAAGAAATTGCGGTCCAAAGAGTGGTTTATGCAATGTCCAACATATTTCCAAACTGACTCAGCCACCCGATTGCTATGCATGAAGGCGATGAGTAATCCTCGCAATAATTGATTTCCGATCACAATGAATGCGCCAACAACAGCATACCGCGTAAATCTCAGGAACATCGTCATCTAATGATGTTAGCTGCGCTCTGATGACAACAAGGCGCCAAACATCGAAGTGGCATTGAAGCGACACAGACGATGCGGCGGAAGTGCACAGGGTGCACAGGTCGAGCGCTTAATCAATATTAATATTCAACGTGGGAACTTGCTCCTTCCATTTACGCCAAGCGCTGGCAGTGACGGCAGCAAAATGACGAGAGCAACACGTTGATTCTGTGTAATGAGCCGAGACGGATCCATCCGATAGGATGCAAACCCCGAGTGACTCGCACGCTGCGAGATTGACCTAGGACATGCATGCAGTTGTATAGGTGCATGAGCTCAAGTCACAGAAAATATGGGCTTGTCTGTGACCGGTTCGCATCATGTTGGATCAGAGACGCAGACCACAGCCGTCTGATGTCCGATCGACTCGGAGAGGGTCTCGTGTGTGGAAGCACGGGACTTTGTGCGATAATCAATGCCAGAAGCTCAGACGAAAGGGAAGGAGTGGTGTCGGAATCACGATGGAGGACAATGATTGGACCACATTATTTGGCGAGAACTGATTCAATGTCATGTTTTTGAAGAGAATCCCTCGCGGTCCTAGCCTAACCGAGAGGCGCTCGCAGCGCATTCGCCAACTTTTGTTCCTTGATACTGCCTCGAGGCAAAAATACTTAGCATGCAACGTGGCCTTGCGCACAGCCACTCAGGCCTCGATCGACGATCACGAGTTGATGACGACTCGGCCCATCGCATGGACCTCGGTGTGCGCACCCGTTGGAGGGCTCTCCTGCTTAGTCGTGTGCGGCGGCTCATGCGATTGCATAAAACTAAGGTGGAATATTGAACACCGTGAAGATCGAACATTGCCTAAAATGAAGACCCTGGGGAGCGACATTGGTACTTCGAAGACAATCAACATTGGTAGTAAGAATCAAGCCATTCAAGTCAAGTTACAAATGGGCTACATGTGGAAGTAGTACCGCATGTTTGTAAACAGCTTACGCATTCGGGATCATAAAGGACCTTCCGAGGCTGGTGCTCATGATGCCGCAGCCCAGTATAACGCCTGAAATAATCTCGGCCAGCCTAACGCCATCCTCCCCCGTTTCATCCAGGATGCTAACGATTGGGGGAATGCCGTCTGGCACTCCAGGTGCGGGTTCAAGGTAGCAACCCAACACCCTCGCAAGATCGTGGAGAACCTGGTCGCAAGCAAGGAGCCTGTCGTGAATATCGGGGAGGCCCACAAAGTGGCCGTACGCCGCCGTGGTGCTAGACGGGGTAGCTTCGGTTGAGATGTGGAGCCCAGCGAATGGGTCGGGATCTGCTTGTGCGTTGTGAGTGTACTCTTGAAGGTAGGGCGCTTGGGGCGATTCGTAACTGGGCGGCACTTGGAGTCCGGAAAAGTTGCGCTCAGTTAGCCAAATCGCAAACGTACGGACGGCAGGGAGAGGCCCTGATAGGTGGACCAAGCAATTAGATGACTGGAATCGAATGCCTCCATCGTGACTCACTGATCATCTTTTCTTCGGGTCGCTTCCTAGCGTCCTTAACAGCCTTGGAAATCTCTTGGGTACACGCTGACATTTCGCTTGATCCCTACGTCCAGAGGCTTTCTGTGACTCGATGTCCCGTCGAAGGCAAGGTTGGACGTACCCTAATATCCTTTGACAGAATTCTTGGCCCTTCCACCCGAACACATTCGATGCGGAGTTTGGTGCACTCCTTGCACCCATCCTGGGCCCATTTCTCGTCGCACTTCTGATGCACGGGAATCAGTCCGCCATGACCACCGGCACTAAAAATATCACCTCACCTTAGCTCGCACACCGCAGGTTAGGCAGCCCGTAGTGCTTCGTCTCGAGACAGAGTGAGGAGTCGTCATAGCGTTGGAATTTTCTATGTCTTGGAGGTCTTGGAGGAACGAACGGGGATCATTTTATACTTGGCTGGCTATACCAAACGTAGCAGTGAAGTGGAAGGGAATTTGTGCAATGGACTGGCCACCATGCAAATCGCCTCGGAATGGCCATTGAGCACCTGGCTTGGACCTTCACGTTTCAGGAATCACGGTGTTCTATAGAACGGCGAGGCAGTCCCGTATGAGAACGATAATGTTATTTCATTCCAGGCATGCCACCGAACTGGAAGTGTCCAGCTCGCTCAGGGTAACTTCCGGAATTGTGTGGAGCAGAAGCTTCTGGTGGCACCCCGATGTAGTTGCCGAGTCGCATAAATCCGAAGTGAAGGCGTGTGGACAGTCATAGCCTTTCGTGAAGTGATGGGCGCTTTGTTTCTGGCAATAATTTGGGGCGACGATCCTGCATGTAATTACGCAAAATGCCTTCATCCGGAATAGATTAGCGAGAACGTTGCAACCTCACGGCTGGAGCCTGGTTGACCCCTAAGCTTGGGCGCTATACGATTCACCCTCATGAGTATGCCCAGGGTCATCACAAACCCAGTTCGAATGGTGCCACGAGGACGGCCCTGAACAAATGGGTATCGCAACGGGTTCCAAGAGAAACAGGGGCTTGATGAGACACAGGGCGATATGCCAACAAGGGAACATGGCACCAACACGTTCCTAATGAAAACAAGGACAGCCATCAAATAACGGTTGACGTATGTCAACATTACATGTGGGTCCAAACAGCCCCCCAGGCCATTGTTTGTCCCATGACAATGACTTTAAGCAAAGTGAGACAAAGGGTTAAGTTATGAGGAAGAGTGCTTCTTGCAACACGTCCCCAATAACGACGACGGGCAATTTGAAGGCGGTACTCGAATGGTGATTAGGCAAAATGCCTGGTGGCAGTCTTGAGTGCGCATTACGAGTAATATCCAAACACGGCAATATGGGCATGGGGGATGGAAGCCGCAGAAACGGAACCCCCAAAATTGCAGCATGCTCAATGACAAATTGAGACTGGCATAGCCGGTGCTCCGGATGTGATTTCCAGTTCAAGTTTCTGTCGCACAGGTTTCAATGATTCATTCAAGAATCACGGAAGAAGCCATAAGGCAGGGCCGTTTGAGCAGCAGTATGGCGGATGGAGTTTATTGGAGCGATACCCTGTATTGATCCACTAATTGCGACATAGTGTCGGGCAGAAAGTGCCGAAGAGCGAGTCAGGAACAATGGAAAACGTTCATTGTGCTGGGTTCACATGCACACTGCGATGATGACGAAAATCACAGTCCCCCCTCATACAGCACTTTGCGTATGGTGCCCGAATGAAACCTAGTGGACGGATCTCTAGCAGTCAAGTGGCGCGATTGGAGGAGTAATCGTGTAGCTACTATTACCGCCATCAGAAGCGTTGCATCAATGGAGAATGCCTTAAGGGAACACAACGAACAACGCAGTGTGGCGCAGAGCATGCCCGAAGGTCCCTCGTTTTGCCTTGAATAAGTTAGCATTTCTTGACGTGTTGGAGCCACCACAATTAAACGTGGTCCTCAGAAGCCACGAGGGGCTAGTATTGCTGATATGAAACGATCATTGGTTCCAAGACGAAGAAAGGGATGGCAACGGAAAGATCCTTGCCTGGAAAGTCCATGGACCCGAAGGGCTATACGCAGTAGTGAATAAGTACATATAGGGGAACAGGGTATGCCCAAACGTCTGCAGGCTCAGGTGGGCAGGGGTTGACCTATCAAGCCGGGTTACGAGCTACGACAGGACGAGGGCAGCATTGGAGCCCTAGCATTTAGGGATATGCGAACTGAGAATTGAAACACCCATAAGAAGCGAAGCTCTAAAGTGGCCCTAATAGTGGCAGCAGAGGAGATATCGAAGTGTCGGGGACGATGATCGCCTTTGTCTTGCCATGAAATTTCGGACGGGAATAGCCGGCATCATACATGATCGGTTCATTTGAAACTGACATCAACATGTTCTGTCGCTAAGTAACAAACATACAACCAGACCAGCTTGCGGCAGATCTAACTAAATGTGCATCGACGATCGTGGTGTGGAGCTATTTTCGTGCATTCACGAACGTTCAAACGTTCATCTCCAAGCCCTTTGGAGGCTTGGAGCAACGTAAGCTGAAACTAACCACAGTCTAGCCGACATAATAGTAACCTCTCGAAAAGCGATACCCTTGCTCTCTGCCATGAATGGTTTCGGTTCTATTGCGATAGCCGGGTTCGTTAGGCGGGTGCCCCCTCGATTGGTATAGATGGGTTCGTATTCCCAAAGGGCAAGCTTCCAATAGTGGTGTAGGAGCGTTTGAGCCCGTATAATTGAGTTTCGCCTTTACTTGAGGAAGATGATTAGTGTCAGTGCGGTGTTCGCGTGGGGAGTATCCATTCCAGTGACGTTCCAACGTCAATGAATCAAGTTGAGCAAGATAACTATGTGACACGTCATAAGCACTCGATCGCGGCCAACGTTCGAGTCGAGGGACACGGCCTGGCGGACGCTCGGCAGGCCGGGGAGCTCGATACTACGGCGCGAGAGAGTCTCACACTCGGTGCACTGAGAAAGGATGGAGACGCGTTCAGAGCTGCCGTGTCCCAAGCGCCCAATGGCGGGCACATGTCAAAAGGAAGTAAAGAACGCAATCTCACTGAGTCCTGTATTAGCTGGTGAGTACGGGCATTGGCGCTGAAGCGTGTGAATCGAGGGCGCCTGCGTTGTGACGAGAACGTGACGATTAGGATAAAAACGACTCGGAGGGGAGATAGGACGATGGTCACGTAAGGGGTGAGAAGAATGGACGATGGGTGCATCCTTTGCGACACCAGTGACAGGGGAGAGAAACCAGGATAACATAGGGACCTGTGTCGCAGTCTATCGCGTTATTCAATGCCCAGACAAAACCCTGATCTGGTCCAAAAGGGGCGGGACGCTCTCGAGTGGGGGCGATGAACACATGCAAATTCACAACTCGTTCGAAACGGCCGTCTGCCCAGAAGCATAGGTTGTGTTCTTGACCCACGTTGAAGGCTGCCCAGCAGTCACGATTGAACCGCCACGCTATATCATAAACCGACTAGGTGATTCCCATGACGGTACCCGGGATATCCAAGTCTCGCTCAAGCCGTAAATGTTGAGGCTTCTTGGGGGATCACACGGTATCATGAACAAAAGGGAATTACCGGGGGGACTAGCTGTTGACCTGGGAGGATCCGTACATGTTCTGCAAGTTATTCTCCAAATGGAGATCATCGCTTTCTATCTTGCTTCTGAGGGATACTGAACTGATGACACGCTCTATCCTCGAGGACTCATTTCTTAGGTGGGGAGACGCGCGCAGCAGTGCGACTGCGAACTAAGGAGGAAGTCGGCCATTTGCGGTCATGCAAGTATCCTTTAGAAGGAAAGAGCACAGTTGTTGCAACATCAATGATTGAAATCCAAAAGGGATTTGCATAACTCGGCTCACAGCATTACATGAAAAGGGTTCTAACCCTTACACTCCCTTGCAACGCAACCACAAATGCGGTAGTGGCGTCCCATCACAGAAGTAGCGCTGGCAGCGTTTTACATTGTAATGGGGGACAGGCGCTTCTTGGTGCCATCACACGGGATAGGGATGAGCAGGAGTGGAGGAATACCGTGTATAGACAAGCATCGTCCGTGGTGGCTGCTGTAGATCCAGAGAAAGCAACTGAAATCCTCCCCTTGGTGGGTTCAAACCCCTTTAGGATACATTTTCAACAAGGAACAACCGAGTCCTATTACCTTCCGTGTATATACAGAGACGTCTAAATGGCAGAGATGCTTGGAAGCTTCGGTTGCTACAGTGAAGCCTTCAAGACACAAAAGATAAATGCATATCAGTTGAACGTTCTTAATTTGGCCTTGGTACCAGTCTTCCACTCACAAAGAATTGAACCAGCCGAGAATCGTGCTGCTTCTGCGAATGATACAGCGGAAAGAAGCTAGCAGTACGTTTGCTGGCAATAATTACCAGATTGGTAGAAGGATTAAGTTAGGTCCCAATGCCCCAGCAATGGCGATACCGATGCCAGGACATGAAATAGTTGCTACATCGGAGTAGGTAGGACCCAGCCTCTGTGACTTAGCGTCGGAGTCGGTAGACATCCCCGGGCCGGAGTACGTGTTAACTTTCACTTTACGTGTGGATGATCCCAAATTCAACGCCCAAGCCAGAAGTGAGCGCTGTCCAAGGACCCGCGCGTTCAGTCGGATACACCTCCAAGGTGTCAAGATTATGACCAGCATTTGACGACCACATCCCAAATCCCCCTATCTTTCTCTCCTCGCAGGCGAGTGGGGAGAGGAATTTTCTCACATTCTGGTTTTCCGGGCTTCTAGTCGTCGCCTAGTGGGGCGGACTATAGTAAGGAGCGATGTATGGTGCCCCCGGTCGCCCGGATAGTTGTTCGCCAGCTAACTGGGTCCCATACCTAATTCACCTGAATCTCACTAACGGATGATTCGGAAGCGCGTCTGGCGACAGAGGCACTATTCCGCTACTGAACACCCTTTGACGGCGGACTCGTGACTTCCACCCTGACTGCAGGGTGTCTATCATACCGGATCTTCCCCTGACTGTCCAAGGTTTTACCCCTTCCGTCTAATCCACCGCGTGTCGAAGTTCGTTTCGACACGTTCCCCTCCGATGAGTTGTCTGCAGCCACACTATCGTAAAGGGCAGGTAGGTTGGGTACTCCTATCTGTTAGCTTTTCCATAGTGTACTTTGATCTACGTGTAAAATAGCGTTGAACCAAACCTCACAACCCCAGGGCCAGAACATCTAACTTTGATCCGAAACTTATCCCTTGGCATCATAAATTTCTCCTGTCAACGGCGTCCATGGTCCGCTTCAGCCGTCAGGGAAGTTCAGGGTCCACGATGTCTTGGTGGAGAATCACAACCACTTCAAACCAGTTGTGTCGTTTGCACACGTGTTTACATACATGTCCTGAGAGCTATTCGACCCTAGTGCCAATGCTTGATGACGTCCTTGTGTGAAGTCATTGCGCGGTGCGTTCGCATACTCTGCTGTGACTCGTGGCATTTCTGGCGGGAGGATCATTTCGAAGAGCTGGGATGCTCCCAACCTTCCAGAAGGGCTATCTGTGGACGTTTACGATGATATTTACGTGACCAAATGAAAATGAAACAGATTTCAGATCACATTCCCAAGAAATGTAGAGGCTTATTTGGTTCGTCGGCACCCAATAAATTTTCGCATTTTAGGCCAAGATGATCAGATCGGTCGTGGCAGCGGGATTTGTTGTGTGATCTCCGACTGGCTTGTTGAGTCGTTATGGCGTGGTTCAGGCATGGCCGAGGGGCCGGGTTCAAGTAGGTCCACGCGGAAACCATAATATCGTGCGAGCGTGCAAGCGCCGCGAGTCACATCTTGTATAACAGGGTGGTTGTAAGGAAGACGATGAAGTGGAATGTCGGACATGGTGCGGGCTGGCACATTCGCATCAGGAACAAGGGTCAAGCGAAGGGCTCGAGTGATCGTCTCAAGACCGGGAGGTAATGAACCGTCGGGAAGCGAGCTACCTGACTGTAAATCTTGAAGTTCAGTGTTCATATGTCCTGTAATGTCGGATCGGCACCCTGCGGCGTTTTCTTCTTCAACCTCTGACCCAATAGCATCGGCGTCGGAGCCTTCACTAAACCAATGGTCCTCGTCTTGAAGAGCAGCCAGCTCCTCGACGGCTTTCAAAGTTGCTGAGGGCACCTTCAAGTTAGAAACAAGGCACAAGTAGTAGAGAGGTTGAGAACCCCACCTATGTCCGTTCGACACTGCCTATCTCGCATAGCACTGCGCACTTGCCTCTGAGCCTCTTCTTTTTTGAGCTTTGATGCCTGGTTCACGCACCAAAAATGTTAGCGCGACTGGGTAGAAAGGTTGGTGCGATTGTGTCCCAGCTCACATTCGTTTGCGCTCGAATAGGGCCAGCCTTTTTAACACATTGAAGCTTGAAGCGCTTACAGGCCTTACAGCTTGGTTCGTCGGGGACACACTTCTGATGGTTTGAGAGAGCATCGTCGGCGGGCGCGGCACTCAGACTCCAGATAACAAACCTTTTTTCTTAGGCGACAGGTCACGCAACCCTGAGTGCTACGAGCAGGTGCTTGAGTTGACATTTGGGGCGGGGAGGGGCGAATGCAGCAGTAGGGGGCGTCGAGATCCATCTTTTATATCTCGACATGCTTACGGTCGATCCTCATGTTCGGGTTTGTGCAAGACGGGCCTATTGTCTTCTTTCCCCTCTAAAAATGGACTTATGTAAAACTATAACAAAAAATTGTCACAACTAGCTTATGTGATGCCGTACATACCCAAAAGGTTCTGGAATTCAGTGCGCAGGCGTCTGGATCGATATGTCATGCCACCGAAAAGGAGTGGGTTAACCCTAGACAACACACAATCATTGCCCTCACTGGCTCAGCTTGGAGGGGCAACGGGTGAAAGCTCGTTGTTTCAGAACTAGATTGGGTTGTGTCGCCGATTCCTTAACTTGTTTAAGCACAGGTGATCGATCAATGGCTTCCCATTAGAACGATCCGTAATTTTTGTCCTTTGGTAACCCTGACCGGGAACCACTCGCAGGGTGAACAATGGTGACGCGCAGCAACTCATAAATCTATAGTGCTAGGTCGGGAATCCACATTGCACACTGATCCCCTACTGTGACGTGTTGCCTCGATCATGTTGATCAGCAGTACACATGTTCAGTCAACAACCTGTTCTTCACAAGAACAGCGGAGAAGCGGGTCTTGAAAAAATTTCAAATAGCACCAAGAAGCCACGCTGGAAGCTGTGAGCAGCGCTGCACGATTTACGACATTAATTCAATGATACATTTGGGGTATTTCACGTGATCATTTCTGCGCTAGCGCAGAATAGCCTTGTCCTATTGTATATCCTAAACAGTCAAGTAAGTGATTCATTGGGACTCGATTGATCTATTGGTGAGTATGGCTATTTTTGTGCCTATGTTACTGATTGCACACGGGATTTGACTCGCGCCCTTGCGGCCTCTGGTGACAACGATACATCCATTGACAGCCAAATAGTTGTCGAGGGAAACGAGATAGAGGTCGAGAGAGAGAATAAAGCACTTACGTTAAATAATAAATGATGGGTCAAGTTGGCCATACCGCCACAACTCAAACGATCAAGCACTCCTATGACCTATAGCCTTGAGGATGACTCTCTTAGAAGAGAAGCATTACTGAACCAACGCGCATGCATAATCATGTCACGACCACATCTTGTCCTCGCAATCACAGCTCCCGAAGGTTCCGTAAAGCCGGGTCTGCCGATGGGCGAGGAGACGATGTGGCCATGTACACAGCTTGCACGACGGGTCACGGGCGGCGATGGCGGGGAGTATCGTAAATCTACGCGCTGTTCATGTTGGCCGTGTTCCCGCCTTCGCCGTGGAGTGCTTTCTGCTTTACGGACGCTTCCCTTCGTCCTGTCGTACACGAATGAAGATACAAGAGAGATATGAGCCGGTTGATCGAATGGCACGCCTCAAATGCTAAGGGAGACCCGGAAATGAACACTGATGTGTTTAAAATCATTTCGTCGCTGGTGGGAGATAGCGCGGTCTACTGAGCTCGATGGAAGGTGGGGGTTTCTTTTTGATATCCATAATCGAGGTTCAAGGGTCGGGATTCGTCAGTCCAGGTCAGCAGTGTTTCTCTATCATGCGAGTCCCAGCCACTGCGTTAGAATATTATCTAGCAGCGAGAATTGGTATGTTTGGACTCACTTTGCACTTTCTAACTGGTCTCGTCCGGCGTTTTTTTAATCGCAAAGGATTATGCTCATCTAGGAGCATAGCTATACATTGGTGATGGTTGGCATCAGATGGCGCGCCGAGTGTTCATGTCCTAAAGTGCAGAGTCGGGTTTATTGGGATGGTCTGACATTAATGTGGCTTGGGGGTAGTAGATTGTCGGGCCTGGGAAGGTCGGTGCGGTTGGCCCGCGTCATCGTACGGTGGTGATATGTGGGCGTATGGATGGCTGTCAGCAGGGACTGTATTTTTCTGCCGCGCAGCCCCGGTGGAACTCAGGATAACGATGACATGTGCGTTAATGCAACATTCGCGTCTCCCCAACATCTGCACAGAGAGTTGTGTGGACGTCTAGGTTACGTGTAGCAAAGTGAGGGAAATGAGTTCGGCTTGCCTTTGGACGGCTTCTTAGCCCTCAACAAAAGGGGTCTGGCGCCAATGCTTGCCGTACCCAAAGGGAGTGCCAAGATCGTGGGGACCTCATTTTTGCTACTGAACTCCAAATACAAGGCAGGGTCGATGCTGCTTAAGTTAAGGGTGCAGGGGCAGAGGGAAATTTTTCTGAGGTGGGTTTCTCTCCGTCTCTTACGACATGCGGTAGAATTGCATCATGATTAGGGTTTTGGAGAGTCGCTCGTCCGTCGAGGGCCCGTGTCCTTCGCACCTTGGGAAAGGGGCTGATGAGGCTGATGGAAGGAGGCGAAAATCAGTCCCCGGCCTATTGGGATAAATTCCTCCTATCAACAACACATGTGATACAAATCCCACCCCATGACCCCGTCACTTAACCCAAACAAGGCCCAGGGCTTCAGATTCACACCCCTTGAAGGGCGATAAATGTCGTAGTTGCCACGAAGAACAGGGCTCACATCTTTCCGGCTCTCAAACTGGGGAAAGCAATGACCACCAATAAATACGACCTATGTATATTGGCTCCAGAATCTAGGGAAAGCAACAGCATGGAAATATGAATGGCATCTCACCTTCGTTTAGCGCCGCTTCGAGCGGCACGACGGCACGAAAGGCCTGGATCCGCGAGGGGGACCAATACTGACTGCGTTGAGCCCATCATTTCTAGGTGATTCTTTAGAACTGGTGAGCCGGATGTTGTAGGTAGGGGATATTCGTTATAGGGTTCCTAGCGTCTTTTAGATTCGCCAGCCCGGATGGATGGCTTAACCCCACTTTGCGCAGAAATCTAGATCGTCTGTTCCATCGTATGCGGTGATGAAGCTGGAATCTACTGCTCGGCAGTGATCAAAAAGGGAAACAAGGTAATTGAGTGGAATACAATTACTCTTGCTTTCTCCTTTCCAAGGCGAATAACACGGCTGACGCGTCCAGATCCACTGTTCCTCGTTTTTCAGTCACGAACGACTCAAATCCCTACCCTTTGGACTGTATACTCGTACCCAGACCCTTCGTCTATCATTCAACCATCGGTTTTCCACGTCTCAACGTCCCCTCTGACGACGGGAGAGTGCTCCCCGTGACACACGGCAACGCTACTCGCCTCGTCTATTCTAGTATCGAATACGGGCGTGCCGTCCCCTCCGGCAGTAACGCTTTTCCTCATTATTTATGATTTCCAAACTGCTCTCTCCTGATGCTTCCCAATCATTCACAACGTCCTCTCGCCAGCGAAGTAATAGCCTTCGCCATTAAGCCGAACAGACTGGAATCCTTCTATCAGTCTCTTACCCGCTACCAAAACCCTCATTGGTGCGCCTATAACGCCATTCACAAGGACCGGGGGTCTAGCCCATGGAGACGTCATCAAGTTGTGTTGGTTATTTCATACATCGGGCCCAGTCTGGCGTGCGCAGGCGGGACATGAGCTCGAGAATTTTACCAGTGGACGGCGTGTTACTTCATCAATCTGGAAAGTCTCCGATTCGCTTGAATCTGGGGAAATTAGTACGTGACCGTAACGTAGGGCGGACGGCGCTAGAACCAAGGCGTAGCCTTTTGAGATTCAATATCATGCAGACGGGGAACTCGTATGGATGAGTGTGGTGCTGGCAGGGGTCGAGCAGGTATGATTCATTGAACACTGTTCGCGCGGTTAGTTTTCTTTCGCACGTTGAACTGATCACCTATACAGTGTGTGTTGCTTTCTTCCGCTAACCATTCCAGGCTGGATGTGATAATGCGTGATTCAGTTGAACGTGACGCGCCCTCTTGGACCGGCTTACCGACTTTGAGCCCCGCATCAGCTGTTGGATGTCAGCAAGGGCGGGGTGGATGTGGGCGATTCGCCATCGAGAGAGACGACCGAGTACAGGGTTGCGTGTGTGCAGAGCCGACAAAAGGGGTGAGGTGTGGCATCGGTGCCGCGCTTTTTCGTGACGTTCAATATAAACAATCTGCGGAGTAACAGAGTTCTCCGCGTAGCAGCAGCCGATGGCGTGCGCAGTCAAGGCCTTGATCACGAATGAACCAATGACTTTGTTCTGGAGATGAGGGGGGTTTACGCCTTGGCAATCACAATAACCTCTTCACAGCTCGGGTCAAATTATATACATGTACATTGAATCCGTAGCGTCCACTGGGTAGTTACCAATTGCTGCTTTTCAAAGAACCGGACAACATAGACACGGGAAGATCCGATGACAGCTTCGGACTGAATAACGGCCAATGAACTGGTCAAAATAACAACAAATAAAATGGAGGCCTGCTCCGGAATTGAGCCAAATTAAAGAACAAAGGCCTTTTGGTATCCTCGGAACGGCAAGTACCCGCTTAGAGCTTAGGGGCTTGTTGCCGCCCGGCGCGGTGATATATCCAAATCAAAACCGGTCAGGTGCACCTGTCTGGTTTTCGTGATGTCACATAATAGTGCAGTTGCTCGGCCCCATCAGATCGCTCAGGCTCCTAATGGGTCTGATTACTCCTTTGCGTCGAAATTGCGTCATTATCGTTCCAAACCTACGCTTCCAGAGTGCGGTGACGCATGTATATCCACACCGAGAAGTAACGTTAATTGGGTTGATGTGAGGTTGTCTTGCTGATGCAGCGTGGCCGTTTAAATTGCGCACGTTTCTTGTGCTCTTGAGGCTAACGACAGTATCAACGAGAACTAGAAGCAGCTGCATTGTGAATGGATAGCTATCAAAGACGAAAGGCGAGCATTCCAATCGCAATATGCATTTCCGAAAGGACCACCATATAACATAGTCGAACACATAGGTAAAAAAATACAGAATAGGTGCCCTACACGTTTTCCTGGCCAAGTATGGTTCGGGCCGTCAATTATCATGATATTGGCCGCAATGACATTGCCCGAGCACGTGAAAAACCAGGCCAGTTGCTTCGAGAGCATTTGGTGTCGGAAATAGTACGTCAATTTGAGGAGGGAGTTCATCATCCATTGCAACAGGGTCATGAATTGCGCTTTCCCCCGTCATGAACGATATCGTGTCATTTGCTTCTTCGAGCGTATCTTCGTCCCAGACGGTGTCCCTAGCAGAGGCAACAATGGATTCCGCGTTACTCCAAGGCTACACCGAAACAATGTACCTGGGGGTTGCGAGCGATGTCTCTGATTCGATAGGAAGGTTTAGTGATTCCAGAAATTCCCTTGTTGACGGCAATGTGGCTGAAATGCGATGTTAGCCTATTTAAGTGCTGAATCAGATGCTACATATTTGTACCGACTCCGTCCCGAGAATCCCGGGACTTAATTGCCTGGTTTATCTCGCGACGCGCTTTCTTGGCACCCTGGGATGTCTATCACAACCAACCACGTTTTAAAACTGTAGTCCCAGATGACAGCCGCGGGAAGAATGCTCACCTCCTGGGCAGCCGATAGGGACCGTCCTTGTTTAGATAAACAGGGTAGACGATACTCCGCGCACGCCACACAGGCCTCGCCAGCTAGCGGTTCACTACATTTCTGTCCACGTGAAATAACGATAAGAATCTTGACTTCAGTCAAAAAGAATTCCTAGAGTGCCTTGCGACGGAGCCTGCAGATTAGGCATGAGCCAGTGCTGCGACTTGAGACACTAGAAGTCATGTCTTGAATAGAATTACCACGTTATTTGAGCACAGCAGTTGTTCCCTTATCGCGGGAGAGAAATAACAGGGAGTTATACTGCTTTTGAGAGGAGGGGGGATTTATACTGCTGATGCACTGGCATGCCTTAGGTAGGTCACGACGAAACACAAGCACGCGGTGAGTACTGTCACACTTTCTATAGCGGGCTAGGAAACCAGGGATCAAAATGCCTTGAGGTGCAATTAATGATGCATTGAGAGACACGAATCATGTTCATGGTTAAGTCGTGTTTGAATTAGAAATAGCAGCTAAAAATCTCCCTGAGATTTTGAATATCCTCAAAATCGTGCGTGTATCAATTCTAGCGTAGCACACAGCCATGGTTAAACTAGTGCGTTTCGGTCCTGCATGTCTGGCGAACACCAATCTGCTTCCTGGGCTAGGCTGGGTAAATCAGGAACCCGTTCAAAGCTCCGTTGGATGCTGACCCTGTGGTGACATGTAGCAAATTTCACGAGACTAGACAGGCCTGCATAAGAAAGACGGAGGCGACCGCTCGGCTAGACGAGAGGCCAGACCAGGCCAGTGCCCAATAGCTCGTGGATCATTTGCGACTTACTTACCAGCGGCTAACACCGCTGGGCGGCTAGTACCGGATGGGCACCCGAATAAGATGGTTCTTTCGCCATGTTCCCTATATTCCAATTGAATAAAACCTGTGCGAACCCGGGGCGGCACGTTGGTAGGTCAATATCGAAGGATATTCGTGTGGAGAAGCTGGTGGAATTCATGACCAAGATTGGGGGTGTCAGGTGGGCTAAGTGTGACTGAGGCGAGGCAGGCAGCGCTGGGGTTCTTCCCCGGCGCTAGAAGCCTTCAAACAATGGAAAACTAGTGGTTCAACCTTTCTCAATGAAAAAATGAGCAGGGAGTAATAATGCATCCAGGGAACGCCCTTCTCCCAGCAACCGCATGGGGATGTTAACACGGGCCATCCCAAAAGTGGCCATCTATAGAAGAGCGATCCTGTCGGTAAGGGTTATGGCCGCCCTTACAAATTAATGCCGATGCATGTGCAGGAGACATGTTTTGTAGTTGCCATTGAAGTTCTATCTATTGTTCAGCAGGCTGCAAGACTGACGGGGGTGCTCTACTTGACAGTCGCTGAGGTATTTGGGATTCGTTAGGTATTCAACTTGACGCTCATGAGGCATCGATCCACTGCCCCTTGTGTATATTCCCCTTAAACCACACGGACGGTAGAAAAAGGTAGGGTGACGATGGTATAAAGATTGGGGTACAGACCAAGAGTCTGTTACGGCAGAAAGAAAGGTATTAGAATCTAGCGATTAGCGACTACATAAGCAGCGCTAGAAAAGATGTTTCAGTCAACAACCAAGAGAGGTACGTGTAAATCTCGCCTTGGTCCAAGAGGGAGAGAGAAAATCCACGAAAAGTGACTTTTAAGTGTGTCTATCAATAAATGAAACAAGGGGAAATGTGCGCGTGCGGTCATGCAATCACGTCGACATTAAGTTCAACAGAAGGATGGACGTGGTCGTTTGTACATTGCACGGGGAAGTAAAAGGACTCCGCAAACAAACTTGTGAATAGCCCTCGGGGTAGGCACCGACGAATAGGGCGGGTGGACAGCGTACGAGCAATATGATCATCATTCGAAAAGACGGGAGGGGCTCGTGGATGTAGAAAGATACCAGTTCTTGACAGCGCCCTCCTGTTGGCAAGGCGTATGGTCACCAATGCGTGGGTGCTGAGGATCGATCATGAATTCACTCCGCCTGTGTTGCGATGCTCGTGGCGCTGGGACATCTTTGGACCGAAGGCCTATTTGAAGAGTATCAGTCGGAAGCGAAAGAAGATATCCGTCCAGTCGCAAGAAAGACGAGGAGAAAGTCGTTCCACTACATCAGACAGTGTCAAGCAAATGAACAAGAATGCGCGCCCATTTCGGTCACCCAGCCAACCTACATCAGCCCAATCAAGAAGGATATAGCAAGTTGACGCTCTGAGAGATACTTGGTTCGATAGCCTCCTCGTCATTCCAGCAGCATCTGGTTTGCGGATGTTTCCTTTGCCCAAGCGCGATGCCTGCCTAGTTATCCACCACGCTAGGCATGGGTATTGGACAGTTTATGTAATTGGTCTTGACGAATCTGGACACGTAACCCCATGTATTGATACGTTAGAACTGAACTTGGCGTGGGCTGGGGCTTCGGGGCCATAATGCATTGTACGCTGCTCCCCCCGACTCTGAGGACTGACTGAGGGGAGATGCAAGGTGGATGGAGTTGCTGTGGATATTCATCCAACGACGGTAGGAAATGCGATTCTTTTTTTGCTGCACTCGCGAGTGGTGGGAAAATTGCAGCTGCGCAAAGGGGGGTGTGTGACAACGGTTGCGTCGTTCCAAAGTGCTGTTGTGTCGAGATGGGCAGGATCCCGTGGGAGGCCGCCCGCATGTTCAGGCATCGTGGTGGCAGGTCCAACCCACGAAGTTTCGGATCGGAGGGTGGGGGACTCGCGGAGTGAGGGCTAGGCGGAAGACCCCGCACATAGAGGCTGATGCACGTTAGGTTACGGCCGCGTCAGGCTATGCTCGCACTTGTGGCGGCGTACGTAATGTCTGGAAGGAGGGAGTGAAAAAGATGAGTTTCAATATCGTTTGTGCGCCTCTACAGTGAACGGGATAGTAATTCAAAGGGGATGGTGGTGCAAGGTCGAGATAATAGCGATAATGTGAGGAGCACTGAGGACTGCCTGGTGCTTAAGTTCGAAAGCAGACGCAGTTAAATGACTCTGTTCACGACGAGAGCGCTTGATGCAGACTCTAATTAAATAATGATTTTCCCTTTCTATGTATTAAGTGGCCGCGCGCTCGGTGGCACGTGTGAGGACCTTGATGCTGAGCAAGCTAGCTATGGGCTGCAGCCAAAATTGATTCGTGATCATGCAGACCCATATTTCCCTCATGGATGCGAGGCAGTTTACTTCTTATCTGCTGAACGCGTGGCTATAATTGAGTGTAGGCCCGAATAGAGCATGGTCATCATACGCATCAGCGAAAAGCACTCTTAGGGGCTGGGGTACTCACGCTGCAAGTTCGTTGTTGCCTGAAGTTGTCATCCTGATCTCATCCCAGGATTTGAGACAACACTATAGCATGGATCCTCGGGGCCGTGGGGCCTACTAAGCAGAAGGGTATGAACGATTTCCTTTCCTTTTTTTCCCTTTCTGTAACAACGCTGGTTTGATGGCTACGGAACTCGCTGAATCACTAGGTACCTGTTAGTCATGGTGCACCGGAATCAGACTGGGGACTCGTCGCTGGGATGACGGCCCAAAAATCATATATTGGGATCGCCGTTTTTGGAAGTTGGAATTTGGCAGATCGTTTACTTGAAACCACGCGGGCTTACGAAGTTTTCTGGAACCGCATGGACGGATTCAACCTGTTACGCCAGGAGTCGTTCCAGGGCATGATAAGTCAGAAGAGCTTGCGTTCTGCACGTGGGCTACTCTCTAGGAAAGTGACGAAGAGGAGCAATGAGATGAATTTCGGAGAACGATTTAGTTCCCCAAAAGTTGTTCTCAGGATACCTAAATGAGCTAGCAACGTGGGATCAAGGTAAGGCAGAGCCACACTTTAGATGAACGACTTCAGCATCAGGAGGTTTGTCTAGAACACCACAGTTAGCGAGTTGGGGCGGTGACCTGACCCCCCTAGATCCAGGTCTACGTGAACTTCCAGGAAAGTGTGCCGGCGCGTTCAGGGACCTTTGGTTGCGAGATAAGCCTCTTGGTCAGAGATTGGGGATCCGTGCGCGGTCGAGCTTTGCCGCCGCTTAATTCAATTGTATTCAACCCAGATGTCCAAATTTCAAACTCAATGCATATCCGCACTTGCGTTGGACACACGCCGTGCATGGCCCAAGTGCATTTGCACATCCAACTTGAGTTTAGCGAATAATAGTTAGCGATCCTCCCAATTTTGGCGCTATGATATGGTCGTTAGTTAAGGCCAGCCTGGGTCAGCAGCTCGGAGACGGAGAAGTGCTGATTTCGGGGTGCATCCAGGGTGCATCGATCTTGATCCGCGCCGCAGTGAGCGCGCGAAAGACTGAAGATACTTGGTCTGGTTGTGTTGGGTGCATTACAGCAGTGTCCGGTCCGCCGGAGACTGAAGCAGCTAGCCTCGATCGCCATGAAACTGTCATGTGTCCACTGGCTGTGGGCAATAATATAGAACTTACGCGTGTGTGATAATATCGGGTTTAACCCGATCTGGGTTTAGGAGATGCACGATTTTCATATGCAGATTATTTAGTAGTTGAGGGTGTGTTATTTTCTTTCACAGAGAGGGTTCAAGTTGCAACGAGCTGGACATCTAGGAAGGAAGTATTACGTTCTGGTGGGTGGCAACTCAACGATCGATTTAATGCGCATGGCGTATGGGCTTCTGAGGCTCAAAGATGGACAGGCCTAAGGTTTGCTGGGCCCTTATCACGCAGTCGCATGGTCAGTGATAGCGAGCGGAAGCAGCTCCTACTCCTTCAATACAACTCGCGCATGCAGGGTTCAAGTATATATATAGGTAGCAGGAATGGTATGGTCGGTCGGCTCTGCATGACTCTAGTAGATCCGCTGCACCGATGGATTGGACTTTCAAAGCCCGGCTGAATTGGCTCGCTGACTCTCTTCATCACTAGCATTCCCAAGAAGACGGTGGTACGAGCATGGGATGGTGGGAGGTAGGCGGAACACCAAATATATGGCAAAGACGAGAATGCGGTTCGGTATACTAGGTGATAGACGAGGGACGTAGAAGAATTGGTGAGATGCGGCTTGTCACGCTGGGGCTTGTTCAGTGACATCCGTGAGATCTACTGCGTTACTAGAGTTGCCAAGTTTCGGGTTATTGGGAGTAATGCTGATAATAGGGAGTAAGACCGGGCGATCTTAGGCGAGCTGGGACATGTGCTCACCCTTTGCAGAACGCATGCGTCGCCCTGCGATCATTGCTTTGATCTCTGCTTTGCTATCATTGATATGTGACTGGAGCTCCTGGGAAAACGTAGAGTGTCACGCTATCTCACAGAGCCAGGGGTGAAATCATGAACCCACCGCTGTGACTTGAAGGCGGCCATTGAATGGAATACATTCCATCAGTAACTCATTGCATTTGTTGCACGAGTCGTCATCATCTTGTTGGCATTTCTGAAAAGAAAGGTAAGGCCATTCAAGCCAACGGAGAGTCTCATTACTTTTTTTCGAAGGCGGCACACGAGGCAGCCATTAGCATGACGTCTGGGGACGTTGTGAGTTTGACTTGAAGCCATCGGGGGCATAGCGATACCTCACACACATCCTCCTTTTATGCATCCGACAGGGGTTATATCCTAGATATGAGGGAACCTGGATGAAATGGAAACCATCGTATCCCTTATCGGATGCGCGGCATGTCAACAGAGAATCCTGGAATCGGGGTCTGGCACGGGGCTAGACAGGGAGGCGGAGCATGCGCGAAACAAATAGATAAGCTAGTTCCGAAGCCAGGGACCAAAGAAATGCGCTATCCTTCTCCATTGGATGACGAAATTGGAATATCCTATAAACGTTTCCTGACGCGATCCAAGAAAACTCGAAGGGCCTGGCGGTCGCATTCCTTATCTCAACGGAAATAGGTCGACGGAAAACGTACGGCCACCTTACAGGGTGTGTAGCTCAAACGGCAGGAAGTGGAGCAGAGTTGAGTTGGCCCATTATGCGCAGCTCAGGCCGTGCATGAAAAATCCAATCATGAGAACAGTATGTCGTGAAGGAAAAACAGCTATCCTGTGTACCTCAGTTCTTTCTGTCATTAGAGTAACAACAGAAGATACCCACATTTGGCCTGAACTAGGAGGTATTGGAGCTATGCATATATTTCCAAAAGCGGCAGAACGTGATCACCAGGAGGCTGGGAATGCCATATCTTTTGGCAGTGGGAGTCGGTGAGAGAGTTCGACATAGGGACCGAAGGTTTATCCGTGGGTTTCCTCCCATAGGATGACCAGGTTGTATAGGTGGTGGACAAAATAGATGGACATCATAGATAGGTGGCCGCCCGCCCCCAGCGGTCTCATGACCATCTGAAATGAGGTGCTCCTCGCAACCCCCAGCTCCGGTTCGATGGAGATAGGTACCCTAAAATGTAAGACCACAAAACGGAGCGCGTGCTTGGACCCCGAGCGCAGGGCGGTGCTGAATTTGGCCCACGTTCACAGGGTTGTAGCAGGACGACTCCATCATGAGAACTTCTGTCGCGAAGAAATTCCACCATGGAAAACTTTGTCACGGAAAAAATCCGCTATCTTGTCCATTTGGGTTCTTCTGTCGCTCTGGTTGCAAAACTAGGAAGGACCCAACACTGGAGATACAGTAGATGATTGCAAAAGGGGGGTTATCTTGAAGCGGGGCATTGAGATGGTTTTCAGGATGCTGCTAAATCCGCATATTTCTGAAGGCGGCAGGCCGATGTTACCTGCAAAGGTACAGATGGAAAGGAGATATGATCGCATGCCGATCCAATAACTTCGTGTGTTGTTGTACTCTGTTTTGTTACCCCATACGTGGCAGTGCGGCTAACAACTGAATGTACATGAGGGGATCGGCAATACATGATAAGGGTGACTGGTTGATGTGATCGGGAGCGGTGGTAGTACATAATCGTCCGCGTGGGTGCGGGATTAAATCAGCCTGCTGAAGGTTCTTTGGTCTAGCGTCTTGAACCTGGTGGTGAGTTTGGTCAATGGGGTTGGGGTGTTGGTTCGCTGTATGGAAGCCTGAGTTGGATGGGGTCGTGGACGTCCAGCGATCCTTCCATGTCTTGTTTGTGCAGGCTTTCTACGAAGGATAGTGAGAGTCGGGTGTCGTCGAGCAGTTTGCACACCGTTTTTCTGAAGGCCCGTGTGTTCCTGGGTTTGCCTTGGAATATGCGCTTGATCACACTCGTGTTATCCGAGTAGAAAACTACTCTGTGGGACGTGTATCATCCTCGAGGAGGAATTCGTGATCTCCCATTCCTATATAAGAGCATGTGACAACTTCCTCACGTTCGTTCAGGTCTCGTCCTTCCTCGCTCAACAATCATGAGGGCGGTGATCCTTGCGCTAGCATCTGCTCTTGCGACGAACGCAATGCCGACAGATACTGCGGTTCGCTTCAATGGCTTAGTTGAAAACCTCGCCCCACCACCAGTTGACGAGTGGGCAATCTTGCAAGAGGGCGTCGCGAGCGTTGTTGAATCTGCTGTCAAGAAAGTCGCCGATACTATCTCATCTGCATTAAGGACTCCGCCCACCATCTCTCGATGGAAGGGATTCAAGGGGGAGCGCGAAGTCGAGTTCGTTCAACACGGAAACAGTGTTTGTGAGTTATTTCTTTTTGCAATTTTGCTGAGCGATATTCAACATGACTCACGTCGCACTATGTAGATGAGCTTCTTCGCATGCCCGAATTTCCTGAGCACCAGATACGTCTGAAATCGCCCAGCTTGTGCGATAAAAGCGTGAAACAGTATGCCGGGTACCTCGACATCGCGGAGAATAAGCATCTCTTTTTCTGGTAATAACCGGCTCTCTGTTGGCATGGTTGATTCTCAAGCTTAGTAGGTTCTTCGAGGCCCGCGTGAACCCAAAGGAAGCACCTCTTGTCCTTTGGCTGAATGGTGGGCATGGTGATCATGTTAACCTCGCCAACATCCAACTCAATTTCTTCAGGAGGACCGGGTTGCTCCAGCAGCAATGGTCTCCTTTTCGAGCTCGGCCCCTGTAGCATTAGGCCTGATGGTCAAGACACCGAGTTAAACAAGTATTCTTGGAATACTCACGCTAACGTAAATTTTGCTCTCTTGTTATCTTTGAGTAGCGCTTATCTGGATGACTGGATGTGTTAGATAATATTCCTTGATCAGGCGCGTAGCTGGGATCTTTGTCATCACCTGAACTTACATTTTCCTCGCAGCCTGTCAATGTTGGGTATTCTTACTCCGAAGATTCCACCGTGAACAACACCCCTACCGCGGCCGAAGGCATGACCACCCCTCCTTTCTATTCGGAATGCTACTGAGTGTCCCATAGATGTTTGGGTGTTCTTAGAGCTATTTTTAAACCGTTTCGAGGAATACGCCAAACTGCCTTTCCACATTGCAGCCGAAAGGTAAGTAGTGATTCTCCTGGTTCCATCTGTGGCGCACCGGCTCACGTTGGCGATATAGTTACGGAGGTCGATATGGTCCACTCATCGCCTCAGCAATTTTCAAACACAATCAAGAACTTGCTCTCGCGCCAACCCCAAGCCCCACTATATTGCACATTAACCTGGCTTCCCTCCTCATTGGAAATGGTTTAACTGAGCCATATACTCAATTTTCTACTGTTCCCGAGTATGCATGTAACGGGCCATACCCCGTTTATGATGACCCAGAAGGGCCTGAATGTCAGGCACTTCGAAGCAAGGTGAGTGTGGTGACTACCGCTTGGCTTGTGATCGTTTGGCATCTCACTTTGGGTGGTAGGTCCCCACATGCCAGCGACTCGTCCAGTCTTGTTACACTTTTGGAACCAAGTTTACTTGGTAGGTCGATTGAGCTATTTCCTGGATATGGAAATATCTAATGCCATGTCAGCGTTCCCGCTGGTCTCTATTGTTGGTCTCAGTTGTACGGGCCGTTCCAGGTTTCTTGCAATCTCGCTCACCTTTGGTATTTCTCTCATTTTCTCATGCAGCAACTCGGTCTCAATCCTTATGACGTTCGTCGCAAGTGTGATAGGTCGCAAGATGGGGACTTGTGCTACAAGCAAACGGGTTGGATCGAGACTTACCTTAACAAAGCCTCGGTGAAGCAAGAACTTGGCGTCGACCCTGCGACGGAGTTCAAGAGCTGCGATGCAGACGTTAACCAAGCGTTCATGTTGCAAGGTGACGGGGTGCATAACAGTGCTGCCGTTCTTCCTGAGTTATTAGAAAATGGTATACGCCTCCTTGTTTATGCCGGTAAGCAAAGTTGAGATCGGGGTTGATTTGTGGGCATAACCAGTTTGACGCTATAGGGGACGCTGACTTTATGTGCAATTTCATTGGTAACCACGATTGGATGCTTAAGCTCGAGTCAGTTTACCATGTCAGTAATTCTAATTTTTAGGATGACATGATTTTATCAACCAAATGCTTGCAGGACGAGTTCCATAAGGCGCCGTTCTTCCCATTCCACACTAGCGGTGGTAAGTTCGCTGGCGAATTCCGCGCAGCTGGTGGAGGCGGTCATTTCGGTGCTGGGAATTTCACCTACGTTGTCGTTCACGAGGCTGGGTATGTGCCACCCTATCTTTGCCGTTGAGCATGGGCTTATGATCTCGCATTTTGTAGGCACATGGTTCCATATGATCAACCGTGAGTCGCGATTATATTCCTGTTCGGGGGTCGCACTAAAACAATCGTTTTTTAAGTGAGGCCGCCCTAGATCTCTTTGTTCGGTAAGCGTGTCGCCTTTCATTGATTTTGGTGGCGAGTCTCAATCTCGTGGTATAGGTGGATCACCGACTCTCCTCTTGGCCATGGCTCTAACAGTTCCAAGAGTGCTGGCATTCCCCCGCTCTCCTTGTAATCGTGGCTAGAGACTTTCATATTGTTGGACACGGCCTCGGCACATTCGTATGGGAAGCCTACGTAGTAAGGCTGCTGGTAACACAAACTGGCCTAAGCCTTCATTGCAGATACCTAATGATAGAAGAGTCCCAATATAGTTTTTTCGTGCATCAGCTCCATTTGGACGGGCAAGTTATGACGGCGCTCGGGGCTCACAGTACCCGTGCCCCGTCATACTGTTGATATTTTATTTATGCCACTCCTTATCAATTGTCATTCCTACTTCTCAACCATTGATATTTTTCTTCGTACCATATCACCTTCATCAGTGCGTGCTTGCACACGGCTATGAGTGACTGTCCTCCCTGAAAACCCACCTGATCCTTGCAGACCTTTTGGGTAGCCAGTGCCGATAGTAGAATGAATCCCTGTCAGCAAACGGCGCATACGAGAAGATCGAGGATATATTAGAGAACGAGTAACTTAGAAACCCTGACCCATAACATCCGTTCTGGATTCCGATGTTGGAATTCAAGCTTGAACCATGTATTTACACATGTTTGTGTCGAGACTTTTGGTGCTTAAGTTTCTAGACTGGATGGCAGGTCCCATTTTCGACATGGTCAACTGAATATCCGATGATTTGTATGTGAAGACCTGAAATGACATCATTCGGATGAAGGTGGACAAGCCTGCCCAAATCGGACTTTATATTTTTTTTTGCTTTATTTTCGTGTATTTATTCCGAAGAATCCTGTCCAGAACCATCCCTGAGGACCTGGTAGCTACTGAGTGTCACGAAAGAAATTGCGGGCCGAAGTCCTGGATAATAGGACGTATGTACACAGGCACAGGAACGTTGGAGTCACCTCAACTCACTAACTCAAGCCAGCGAAGGAATGTCGTCGCAGCGGGAGTCGCAGCTGGAGGATGCGTTAAGGTCTTCCGTTCGGGAATCGGAAGACATCTTGTTATGGTCTCAATGCTCATTTGCACCTTCATCGGTCAATACTTCACACAACTGGGTGGATGACGTCGCATTGGCTGTCGTTCGCCATAGAAGTGAAGGCCCATCGTTTGAAATATGGTCCTCACTTTTTTCTGCATTTATGTTTATTTCATCTTACATGTTTTATCATCAGTCTATTTCTTTACGAGTTGTCTCGCTCTGCCCCTCTCATCGTTCGATTGATTGACATCTTCCCGGTGACCCCTAAGCTCACCATTACCTCAAAGAGAGCCACGGTTGCCCGCGACGCCCGACTAGGAATGAACGATGGAATACTTGGCACTAGTGAGTACGTTTTGAAATTTGCGAGATGACGAAGTCTTGGTGGTAAGCTTCGCATCGTAGCTCTGGAGTATGTCCAAGTGGATGTCCGGGCCACTTCTAGAAGTGCAGTATGCCTTATATCTCATCATGTCTCTGGCATGGAAGCTATTGTGAATGAAGTAGAGTGGTTGCGGGTTACGGGTAGGTATGTTCAGTGGACTGACTCTTCCCATTGACTCATCCTGTTTCCAGTAGACTCAAGTTTCCCGCACAACGATTCAGGCCACTGGCTTGCGCACTACAGCGCGTCTATCTCGAACCTCCATGATATCCCAGGTCGTCTTCACAACTATAGAACGTGTGAGTTATGTTTGAGAATTCTTCTGTCTGTTTGGATCAAGTCCCCGTTTTAGATCTCCGTTCAGTACCTCCGCCCTTGGTATTGTCCGATGCTGGTGCTGGGTTCGTCAGCGATGAGGACTCTGACATTATGCAGATACGCGAGGCGTGGATCAGGGAGCAAGTACGATCCACAGAGCATTCATTTTCAGCAAGTTCTTCAATATTGTCAGTCTATGTTGTTTTTTGTGTGCACAACGTGGATGCTCAGTGTCTTAGGATTCGCATCGGAACATTCAACGTCGAGAATCAACTACCGACCCATAGCCTAAAGTCTTGGATCCGTTCACCCAACGACTCTTCCCAGCCCCATCTTTATGTCTTTGGCTTTCAAGAGCTGGATACCAGCATGTAGGCTCTCCTTTACAGTGTTACCACGGAAAGAGAGGATACCTGGTATACAGCCATTCTCGAAGGGTTAGGGGAAGATCTGGCACAGAAATATTCGAAGGTATTTACTTTGGCTGTTGGCGGTTTGTTAGGCTCATTCGCCTTGAAGCTAGCCTCAAGGCAGCTAGTGGGGATGCTTATCATCGTCTTGATTCATGAATCTCTTCAGTCCTCACTTGCCGTCGGTTCCGTATCCTCAGCTTCGGCAGGAGCTGGGTTGTTGGGGACAATGGGGAATAAAGGGGCCGTAGCCATTCGATTCACGTTAGATGACACGGCTCTTTGCTTCGTAAATTCTCATCTTGCTGCAGGTGATGAGATGACTTTGAGACGCAATAATGACTACCATGAGCTTTGTCGGCGACTTCAGTTCCCCTTGGAGACCCAATCATCCTCAACTCTCGATGATTGCGACATCTTGTTCTGGCTTGTGGGTGGCGATCATGTGTGTCCACACCTGAGCCACTCAATGAATTGATTTCTTTTTGAAGGGTGGTATGTGCGATTCCCGATGTTCTTTCCACCGTCGATGCCGATTCTCTGCGCGAATCAAGATCTTAATTATCGTATCAACTTGCCTGATCATGAAGTACGAGTTCTCATCGGCGATGCGCCACTTACCGGGTACCAAGATTTACTCTCCTTCGATCAGGTATTGGTGGATTGTTCCCACGTTTTCTTTCGTCTCATGTTTCTACGCAGTTCAATCAGCAAAGGGGTGAAGGGAGCGTCTTCACTGGATACTCGGAACAGTCAATATCCTTCCCCCCGTGAGCAACGACAATACCCTATCCACTACACTAGTAGTAATGATATATTATAGCACGTACAGGACCGTCCGGGGTCACACATCCTCAATCTACGACTCCAAACGGACACCGGCCTGGACGGACCGAATACTAGTTAAAGGTTCTCCACGCATTGTCACACCAATCTCCTACACGAGTTACCCGGAGATTCCAATCAGTGATCACAAACCTGTGGCAGCAGAATATTTGGTGACAGTAAGTCTTTGCCTCTTTATTTAAATCTTCTGGTCCGGTACTCAAGTATCGGGACTTGAAGCTTCGCACCTTGCAATGGGAGGAATTCGACAAGACTATCACTCGGTTTCTTGACTTCATTAATGCAGAACCTTTCGATGAAATAGCGGCTTTGGGGCTAACAGTCCTTAACTCTGAGATAGATTTCGGTGTTGTTCGGTGGGTACACAGGTGTAGGAATTAGCACATGTTGATCTTTGAGGCAGTTATGATCGTCCTTCTCAACGAGAAATTGCGGTCAGAAACGATAGAAATGTCCGTATGATTCCATATGAAACCTCTATCGGTACTTATACTCAACTCAACTTAGGTGGTCGTTTTCTTTAGGTTCCTTCCTTTAAAGCAAAATGAAGGCATAGGTATGGTGCGATGCTTGGCCATTTGTGTATATTGACGGCAAGGTGACTTCTAGTCTCAACTTGGCTCTCCCTAGAACCATCTCATGTAAGTAATGTATGGTCTTTCAGCGGCTGGCTTACCATCCGCATCATCATAGGGTCTAGTTGCCCCGGGAGCCCAGATAAACATTCTCTGTACCGCCAGGATCAGCGGCTCCGTTGCATCGCGGTTTAATCCCCCACGACTATTAAGTGATCTCGAGGCTACTCTTGTCCTTCATGCTGCTCGGGGACGAGATGCTTTTGTATCCGTCAAAGGAACATTCGGTGCGCTGTGTCTTCCCAATGAAATTGAATGCTTGACTTCGTTTTAGCTCGTACATGTATTGGGACAGACCTCGCTGTTCTCTCGAGGCTCACTGTGCCAGTGAGGGAGTTCAGCGCCGATTCTGATTTAGGCTCGGCATCAGACTCCCTGGCTGCGCCCCCTCAAATTCTCAAATTGATTAACTGGCTTATGACTGAAGCACTAGACGTGGTTGGTGTTCTACTCCATTAATGACCAATGACATCTGAGTCATACCGTCCCCAACAGGACGACCTATTCCTTCGTGCACCCGATGCCGACTCGAAACTGAGAATACTGGAGGTAAGTATGAGAACCATTAATCCATTTCGCCGGCTTAATATTCTCAGCTTCTGGATATCGGAAAAGATCTCCCCACTTTCCAGGGGTCTGATGGTCAATTTGGTCATTCTGAACCCTTCGGTGGGAAATTAGCAATGACGTCGCATGCTGTTGCTTCGTGTCTCGTCGGGCTTATAGAATATTCCCCTACGCCTCTAATTCCCTATGAATTATATGGGAGATGTGCGCTCATCGACTCGCGAGAGGGCGCATTCGAGGTACGCTATTGGGCCGGAGTCTCGTCTGCCTTCGGCTCATTCACTTCCCACAGATTGTTGACTTGCTACCACCGGTGTCAGCAAACGTGAGTCCATTTGAAGCTTGCTGGTTCACATGTGTGGGCTAATGTTTTAATATCGTCCAGGCCGTTATTTCTCTGACAGCATATCTCCACTTGTACTTGCAACATCATTCAAACCTGTCTAGAAAGAAAATAGTATTAGGTATTGAAATATATTTCCCCACTTAAGTGCTGAGGCCGACTCTCATTCATAGCATCCGTTTTCGGCTCACTGTTCTTTCCTGATCCCCCAGAACACAGGATGCTTATGACACCTTTGATGAAGCGGCGGTTCATTTTACAGTTCCTTGATTAATTATATCCATCGTTTGTTTCTCAGATCAGAACATCATCCCGAAGCCTCGTTGACTCCAAGCTAAAAAAAGTACGCCAAAAAAACTATTGACATCACTCCTCTTTACTATGTTCTATCCTGCGGGCGCCGGGTGATGTTTCGAGGTGGCTGGAGATGTCAAAGGGTTGCACCATGGGCGTGAATGGATGTTGCGCACAATAGAATTGTCCTTTGCTGTCAGTACTGAATGTCCGGAGAAGTCCCGGAGCTATCCGGTTCCCCTGTACTTAATTTTTTTTTACCAATACCTTTCACTTTTCAACTGCCACTCTCTCGCTGTAAATTAATTTCCCATCAATCAAAAACCTACTCCGTGCAGTTACGCCATCGATCCATCAGGGAAATAGCCATCTCGTAGATAATCACGGCAGTTGTTTATCACGTTGAGTCCAGTATCAATTTTATATCGTCCATCGGCCCTTCAATTCAGTGGCGATCAGCGGGTATAGTTTTTCCCAATGTCGGCTTTCTATATTTGTAAGAAGGTTGAACCCGTTGGGAAGGGACGTCAACAAGACAATAAGATTTGAACTTTAGTCTTTTACTTATATAAGATCCCCAGCACACGGGGGAAACTCTCGAACTTGAACTCCTCACTCGCAATGACTCCGTTTGAACACCTTTCTGGTGGCTACACCTATGGCATGCTCTTCATCGCGATGTAAGCTAAGCTGTCATGCAAAGTGGAGCAGGCTAAGTCTCCGCCTACAGATTCCTTGGGATCACGACTGTACAGTCTCGATCATATTTTCTGGCCTATCCGAACGACCCTGTGGTGACAAAACTTCTGGTATTTTTCTCATCACGGTGATTCGCGGCCTTGACACCATCTTACACTTGCTGCACCCATCCAGGTTCTAGTGCTAATGTGAGCCAGGCCGGCGTAGCACCAAGTCCAGGTTCTCATTCCATGTGTATCTCAGGCTCGTCCAGTTCTTTGCTCTGTATGTGCTTCCCGAGCATCGCAAGCACTTCATTTCACGTTCGTTGTTTAGTGGATGCTGTATGTCCGGTCAGTACAGGATGATTATTTCGCGCAAGGACTCGCCAATCAGAAATTCATGGTGGGCCTACCTTGAATGTTGCCCACAACTTCCCTCACCTACTGTTCAGGTATAACTCTGAGTTTCCTATGTCAACGGTGTGTCCTGTACCCCGACCAGCGCTTACACCATCTATCTTACGTACTTTCCCCAGGCTGTGTGTTCCATCTTGGTTCAATCCTTCTTCTCCTGGCGTATCAGAAAAAGTCTGTTTCGTTTTTTTTTCCGCTCGGACAAGTAGAATCACTCATTAGTTTACTCCCAGTGACCAATATATGGGTCCCTTTGCTTGTAATGATGACTAGTTTGCTTCAGCTTGGTATGTCGTAGCTTATACTAATCCGAGCACCTGCAAACTAATGGGCCCTGCTATCCACAGTTTTCGGGCTTTGTAAATCGTCTCATCCTGTTTCGTCACAATGTGCTGATCAACTTGCGTTGTATATCTGTAGGGGTGTATATTGTGGGGCAAGTGATCGTGCCGAGTGCGATGGAGTAACGATAACATCGCATCGCGTCTTTCAAGGAATCTGCACCCGCAAGTATATTCACTACCCAATTGGAACCGAACACCAGTTGTCGGTTTGTGTGCAGCTCAGGTTAGCATCATCCATGCGGATTATTTTGCGAAGACTCTGAGAGGACCCCTTAGGCCACCGCAGATACGTTGATCGCAGCAATAATGATTGTCCTGTTACGCCGCCGTCGAACCGGATTCGCAAGGTACGAGCTAGCTTCCGCCCGCTAGGACGCAGGCCTGAATAGATCTTGCTAGGACGGACAGGGCTATAGGAATCCTAGTCAGGTACGCGATTCATACCGGTGCAATTACAAGGTCAGCCGCCCCCGCATTCGTCAACACATCTGGGCGAGATTCAGGATTCCTTTCTTGATAGTGTTCTGGCTCTGACCGTCTTGATTGCAGTGAGCAGAATTGATCTGATCTGCTTTGATGACCAAAGGATAAACCGTCCTCTCGATCCAGTTTGTTGCGTATGGTGGATTTCACTTCGTACATATGTGCTTTTCAGTGGTTAGTTCGGAAATCCTCTTACTCGCGTCATTCCTATTACCTGCAATTCCATTATTTAGTCGTTGGGAGGAGTATACACCATCACTTTGCTAGCAAAGTAAGTCCTAGGTCGCATGAATATCGCCGCATTCCCTTCACCACTTTATCCAGCCTGCATGCTCGTAGTCATGTCCGACAATACCTGTTTCCGGGGCCCGTAGGAGATGCTGGACAGTCCATTCACTTGTCCAAATTACCAGCTGCGGTACCATCCTTTCCGGAGCTGTCGATCTCGCCAATTTGCTTATGTAGCTCCGTAGATAAAGAGTCGGATTCTGCAGGCCATTCCTATCAGCATGCCTACTTCCATTGAGAGTTCGGAGCGTACGTGCGGCTTCTTATTTATGTGGCAGCAAGATTTGACATTTTCTTGCCTTAGCATCCTCCTCAGTCTAAATTTATTTGCCTACTGCTCATGCGGCATCTGCTTACAAAAAGATCGGTTTTTTTTTCCTGGGGGGAATGTGCTCGCTGCGCATCGCTGGACTCTTAATCATGAAACGGTGTATCAAGACTTTTCATCAATTTCATGTAACTATAATTTTTTTGATGGAACCTTAAGCTTTCGCAGTGTGGTGTGTACACACTGAGGTATGTTGTTTGTTGGGGAGGGGTTCCTGGTGTAACTTGCATGTATGCATCGTTTTCAAGTTGTTCCGAAAATTGCCACCGCATTTATGCATGTCAGGCTTCTTGCCTAGTGTGGGGCTCATGTGAATCTGGACCAGGAAACCCACGCTACTTTTCAGCGAGTTTTTATCAGGGGTGAAGTCGATGTCTTGTGATTTAATGGAGGAACGACATTAAATAAAACTTGTATTCCGCAGATTATGGCTCGTTTATCTTCTTTGTTTGATGCACTCTTAATCCTTTTTGTTAGTGTCATTTATGTTTCTTAGTCCAGGCAGTGCTTGAGCCTTTTGTCCCTTAATTTGGATCCGTGTTGCAGATTTTCGGTCTTGCAGTAGGAGAAGGGGCTTTATGCCCTTCAGATGCCTTCAGCAAGTGGGAACCCATTTATTTGCGACATTGCAGGTTCTATAGGTATTCCCGTGATTTGTCTCCTCCAAGCTCTCTGTAAGGTTGGTTGGGGTTCCAACCTGGGTGACTCCTCAGTCCTCTGGCTGTTGAGATCTAGGCTGTATTGAGCTTATGATTTGACAAGTGGGTGAGGGTAAAGAGTGAAGAACCCTTTACCTGAGCCTGAGCCATACATATGTAAATACAGTTGTTTTACATTAGGGGGTTTCATGGTTGACTAAAGTGGGCTAAACTGGATCCAAAGTGAAATTTCTAAAGTGGCACATGAGTGACAAAACTGGACCTAAACTGGCCACTTTGACTTGGGGCTCAAGAGCCCCAATTGGCCTAAAGCCAATTTTCTAAACTGAATCTAAACTCGGGCTTACTGCTGATAAATCTGTGAGCTCTGAGAGTGTGTCTACTATACAGTTCTTCATCCCAGATCACCTGTCCACTTTCATCAACCCCATCACCATCATCTTGTCTCCACTGTCTCCACTGTCACTGACTCCACACCATGGTCTTGGACTTCAATGGGAACTATCATAGCATAGGCCGCTAGGGACATGGAGTATGTGGCTTGTCTCTTTCTCCTTGTTCTCTTTCATGCAATTACCATGTCATGGATGCTTTGACCTCATGACAGAGCACAAACATTGCGTTCATACCACATCCATGCACTCTCCCTCAGTTCTCCAACATGAGACTGAGGTGAAGGAACATCCACTCATATTTTCCACAATCCCAACCAACCTGTGTTATGTTCATGTATTGTAGCTACATAATCATAGGTTGTAATGTCACTCATTCTCAACATTGGACTGAGCAGTGACCGGTGAGCTAGGGTGCTTCAATAAACAGGCAGATTGGATGCGGTATTGTTCATTTTGAGAGTTGCTGCAAGTGCAGGGAGACAGCCATAGTGACATATGTACAATGTGAGACATGGATGAAAACAAAGGTGGAGGAAGGGTGCTGTTGGACAGTTGGATCAAATTTAGACTCAGTTTAGCCAACTGTGAAACCCCCTATTGTATACAACAAGAATAAAGAGGAATAAACAAAGAATAAAGAAAGCATGCACAGCACACATCGCCACACATCCATTCCCTACACTCTCACTTTTCCTTCTGGTTGTGCGCTTTCTTCTGCATTATGTGTCCTCAATTCAGAAGTCTTGGTGCAAGTCAGGGCTGTCAACATGTGTTAGGTACGGGTCAGCAAAAGGGACGACTGGCGGGGACAAGGCTCCGGGGTTGGGCTTCGGCCTCAGCGACTCCAAGAGAGCGCTGTGCCCACCTACTGTCTCAGTGCCCACATTTTGAAGTGGCTTGGGCTGCCTTGTTAGGGGGGACAAACCATGTCGATATTCAGACTAAAGTTATAATAATGTAATATACATATATATATAGTAAGAAACTGAATGAGTCAGGTGACAAAATGAAACAAAAGGAAACAGAATAAGGGCCGGCATCTGGGTCAGAATGCATGGTCATGACAACATGCTATGTCTCCTTTGAGCCACTTCTGCATGAAGACAAGATACATACTAAACTAGGTAGTGACCCTCTGGGCCACATACAACTGGTTGGTCATGTTGATCCTCATACATTTGAATGTGTTTGTTGGAATAAGGGATGGAGTAACCTCCCTGGCATAATGGGTGAGTAGTGTATGGATGCACACTAGAGGTCATGGGTTTGATACCAGGCTTGTCCATTTTATGTCATTTGTCCAGTCACCTGGTTTACATCATTTGGATATCATGGAGTAAGTCCAGGCAGGCAACATGCAATTTCTTCAGTGTCGGGACTATTTGCTCC